GCTAGGGCTCTGGACTAGGGTTACTAGTTGGAAGTCAGCACATTTCAATAAATGGGCTATGGCCAATATTATTATAAAATCGACCTAACATTACCTGTGATAATATAGCGAAAAATTATTTACTTATGATAATATTAACCTTATTCCTCACAATCCCCATTACCGACTAAAATAAAACCATAGATAATATCACGCTACAAAACCACTAACTTAAAAACAAAACAACAAAATATCGTGCATACGAACCAAACATACGACCATGTATTGTCTGGGGTATGATGACATTTGCAGTTGGGAATGTCGTCGCATTGAATCATTTCGGTATACAAAAAACATAACATCGACCTTTGCATGTACAATCATACCATTACTAATTCTAATGGCATTAATCACGCTTCGTATCTTTGATTAACATGAAAACGTGTATAGATTTGCACTATAAAGTAAAACAATATTGGGGTTATAAATAGGAATTACTGTAGAGTTTGGTATAGTCAACGTATAACAGTTTTATTTACCTTATTCTTCCATATGTACTACTCTATGGCTTGATCATACCTTACTCCATGATATATTCCATGAAATACCACATGCCCTACCCCAAACCCTACCACGAACCCTACCCTATATTTCAAATGATGCCCTGCCCCAAGCCTTACCTTATCTCCCCCCACGCTCTACCCTATTCCCTATCCCATGACCGACCCAAGCCCTACCCTATGTCCTACTCCATGCCGTGCACCAAGTCTTACCCCATTCCCTAAGTATTGCTCTGCCTTACGTCCTACCCGTACCCCATCTCATTCTCTGTCCCATGCTCTATTCTGTGCCCTACCCCAATCCCTACACCATGCCATAAGTAATACCCTGCCTTATGCCTGCCCTATATCCTATCTCATGTCTTACCTCATTCTCTAATTAATGCTCTACCTTGATCCCTACCTTATGCTCTAAATAATACCCTAGCTCATGACCTACCCCATACTTTAAAAAATTCTTTACCCATGCTCTACCTCTTTAAAAAATACGATTGCTACAAACTTTTTGACCATTATAGTCATCAATTTCAAAATTTAGACCAAAAAACAGGATAACACACCTATATCAACATACGACCACATCCTTATGGAAACTTTTAAAAATATTTCGAAATACCAACAACATACCACGTATTTACCCTATGAACTTTGCATAATCAGCTAAGCAAACAAGTTAAATGACAGTTGGACTAATTTTAGTTGATATTAACATAGCTGTTCATCTTACAGCAATATCGTCACTTTACGTAGTTTGCGTCGTATCTTGGGGTTTTATGCAGTAAAAAATAATGTTAAAATGTTTATTGTGCTTTAAAAACGTAAGATGTCACATTAAAGGTCAACGTTGCCAACCCCCCCCTCCCTTTCCTTAAAAATAAAACCCTACCCTCCGCCCCCCCCTCCCCCCCCCCCCTTTCCTCTTCAAAAACTTACAATAAAACAATATTTCACCTCTAAAGAGGTATTACTGTAACCCCAAAAAAGATGTTTCAAAACAAAAAATGTAAATAGAACATAATATGCATAATGTGCAAGCGGGTACGCTGACCAATGTATACATAATTTGATATACAATGGTGACCATAGTGATACGATTAGGTATGCAATGGTCAGAAACGACCTCGTTTTAGTGACTTTTGAATTATTCATGGTCGGAAAGTTGTTTCCCAAATACGATCACATTACCTTGATGTTAAGGCGGTAAAAAAGTTCGTAGAAATATTTTCTAACCTTTGCCTTGTTTTGCCTTGCCTTGCCTTGCCTCAACACCATTCCTAGCTTTAGCCTTAGCTTCAGCATTAGCCCTAGCTCCTGTCCTAGCCTTACTGTTAATGTTATTATTTTAAATCAATTTAGAATTACAGTAAACCAATTAAACCCCCTCAAACAAAAATTAAATTTTCAAAATTGAAAAATGCCATTAATTACTTTAAATTTAATTAAATATTGTACATATTATGACAAAACTCGGCTACGTAAATCTAAAATCACAAAATCTAATTTGGCTACAACCACACCTACTTCAGCGAATTAGCTTGACTATTGCACTTGTCATAACAACTCAATTGTCGAGGCAATGTTTACTTAACAATGCTAATCACAATACTACAATTACTTTAACTACGCCACTTACACCACACTTACTATTTAGAGTTCTTTGCGACAAAAACAATGTAATTAGCTGGAAACTGTAGAGAATACTAGATTAGAGGTTAGGTAATCACATTTTAATGGGAAATAGCGTAAGTGGTATTATACAGAAACGTCAAATATAACTGATATATAGTTGTGTTAAAATACGATAACTAGATCAACGAGGGCCTTTTGGCCCCCTTCTGGTCTGGATATATACACTCCATTTATAGCCTAAGATTTAAACATAGCCAAAGAAGTCGTATTTTACAAAAAGCGATAAAATTGTCATAGCTTACCTGTTTTGCTAAAAAATTTGTTTTGCTTTGCTTTGCCGCTTCGTACGCCTCGTCTACATCAACATCACGTTTACCCAGTGAATCTTTATATTTTCTGTAGAATGCTCGCTTTCGTAATCTTATCAGTCGATTGCACTGAAATACACAAGATTTGAATATATAATTTATACAAGATTTTAGTTATTAAAAATGAAAAAAACTTACAGAAGTACAAAGACAATTATTGTAGGGACAAAACGCGGTATGTCCTTTCAAATTGACTGTTTGGCCATGTCCTTCACATCGACGACAATTCAGTAATCGGCCTTTGTTTGTCATCACGTACAAAATAGTACTGTAGTTACAATTATACAGTACTGTAGCTAGAAAATTAAAAAGGGATTGTTCAAATAATTCTGCGCCCTTAACCTTAAAAAATTTGTTTTCAAATAGAGCTCAGAATTATTTAAACAACCTAATAATAAAATTATCTAAAGTTTTAAAAACAAATAAATTATACTTATATAAGTTAATATACAAAAGCCTCGTATAACGTGTGTAATAAAGAATATTCTCTTTAAACAGCTCTATATTGAAACCCGACTCCAACAGATATAATCATGAAACACTAATCAGTACTTTGTTTCTACAATATAAAGCACAAAAGAGGACGTAGCTACACACATGTAGCACAAAACCCAACTTTAACAAAAATCATAATGATGACTTAAATTGACAATAATGATATCACATTCTCCGTTATAATCATCAAAAGTTAATGTAACAAGGTGCAGTGTCTTTTATAGTTTTTGATAACAACATTGATGATAACAAGTTGTGGGTGTTTCAAAAACTACGGTAGACCACAATTCGTGTTGTCTACTGTTTTAGGCTCCAAACTTATATTATAGTAGTATACGTGATCTATGGAACAGAGCAAAATGGTATCTTTTGGATTAGCGTATTATTAGTTTGTTCAAAAATTAATGAGCCATGTAGTACAGTGATTTTTAAAAAATTAGAAGAAAAATTGTAATTTCGGATTTTTTTTTGTTTTTTCATAGTTTGATACCTAAATTTCATGGCTCATTACTTTTTGAACAACCTAGTATAACATTGTAAATTATATTGCTGTAGTACTTACTTTGAAAGTTTTTTTTAAGTTTTAATACCCTTTTTTCAATTTCAAACCCAATTTTTTAAATTTCCTTGTTTCAGTTTTCAGTTACCTTCGTTACACATCATGTCATAGAAAACACCTTATAACTGGAAAAGATTTCTGATTTTGAAGCCAGAATGTAGACAGAAGCCAAAACTAACTAAAACAACCTTGGTCTTCCTCATTCAGCATAACATGTCTACCTTATGTTGTGCCGTTCTGTTAGTTCTAGTTCAGCAGAGCTATGGCCAATTGGTAGCTCCAAGCAACATTAAAGTTGGACTAACGTTTACGAATAACAATATATTCTATAATTTCTTTGGTAAGTACTTATCATTTAGTATTTTACTGTTTTGAAAGGTAAAATGGTTAGAATTTTGATCTTTAACGTTAATATTAGCTTTTTTAAATTAATATGTGAAGTATTGTAGTATAATATATGATTTTTTATGGCATTTTCTCACCAGTAAACAGAGAAATTCAGCAACGTTTAGAGGTGATAAATGAGCCGTGTATGTCCGGCCCTAAAAATCATATTTCTTATTAATGTTTCAAATCCAAGCCTCCCGGACCGGGCCTGAAAGTTGAACCCGGCCACAAATCATTTGTTTGGCATTTCGTTCCAATTTTTTTTCCAAAATATTTTTTTTCTTTGATAATTTTCCAAGATTTATCTATGTTCTAGATGAATAATCCTGGGCAGATTCTAACTAAAATATGGTCTACCTTCTTCAAATCAATCTATTTTTGTTATAGTTTTCCAGTTTTACCAAAACTAACACTTTGCTTTTATAAAAGTGTATGTTTAGGTAACTTTTTGAGAACGTTTGCAGGATTTCAGCTATATTGATGCCAAAAAAATAATGTAAGTTGCTTATTTCTGTTTTTTGTTGTTTTAGGTAGCAGTATTGATGTTTCAACATATTGGCCATAGTTCGAAGGTTTTTGAGGGGTTTCTCCCCTGTTTTTCGCAACGATATTGTTTTAGACGAATGTTTGGGTAACATTAAAGAATTTGGGCATTATTTTTTGTTGAGTACGTGGAAAATGGAGAAATAAATGATTTTTGAATGCAGATACTGTTTGTTGTGCAGTGAGGGGAAAGTTTTATAGCGAAAATAAAATTGAACCTTTTTTCCGATGTTGTTTTACATTAGATTGCTTCCACGTTCCGTTTTCTGAAACTCAGTGTCTTTGACAATGATTGAGACGTCCTAGGCATCTTCATATTGCCCAATATTATATTGTTGTACCGAGATGTACAATAAATATTTAAAAAGCAGAAAAACCAAAGAAATTTCGAAAAGATTATTGGCATCTTCAAGATCCGAAGCCATTATGGCCAGTAGAAGCCTCTAAAAACTTCTAAACAACGCATTTTATCTTTGAATTATGTTACTAACAGCCGTAACTTTCTTATTTTTATCTAAAATATTAGAATTTTCATTGGCTCAACTTGGTTTACAGACTGATATAAAAGTTGGCCTGTTATTTTCAAATACTGGAGATTTTGAGCTGTACTATGGTAAGAGCTCAAAGTAAACTGGTTTTATAAACTCAATATAGGTTTTTTTTACTTTTCTTATTTAAAAATATCTAAAAACTTTTAAAAGTATTTAAAAATTGATTTTCTGATCAACATTGATATTAACATTGACATAATATTATTTTAGGTTACGACAGATGTGTGGCCGGACTAAATGTGGCGTTGGATCGTATCGCGAGCGAACGTTTACTTCCAGATTACAATTTTACGTTTTACGTCAAAGAAGATAACTGTAAAGAGACATTGGCGGCCGGCAGGGCAGCTGAGCTCATTGAATATGACAATGTCGATGTTATACTTGGGCCGATTTGTAGTGAACGTACGTTTTTGAATTTCTGAATAGGTAAAGGTTAAAACTATTAAAAATTATTCATAAAGAGGTTAAAAAGTCTTTAGGAGTTTACGAAAAACTAGTTTTAAAGGTGTTACGGCCTTTGAAATCAAAAAGTTAGGCATGGGGAGAGTTCTACGTATTTTTTGACCATTTTTCATAACATAAGTTAGCAAAAGCTAGTGTTTTTAAAAAGAAATTTGATTTTTCGTATTTTAGCTGCGATTATTGTTGGTTCTTTATCTAAATTCTACAATGTTCCGATGATAAATTGGGGTGCCGCGTCAGCTACGAGCCTCAGTAACACATCTTATCGCTTTACCACAGCTTTGAATAGTATTGGTCCGAGTATGACGTATGTTATTTTAGACACATTTTATTTATTTACAATTTTAATAATAATTTGGTTGTTTAAAACATTAAAAATTTATTATTAAGCTAACTTTTTTACTATTTAATTAGCTATTTTTGACCAAAAAGCTAATTTAAAAATTTTTCAGAGTAGCTAGAGGCTTTATTCAACTATTAATAGATCTAAAATACGATCGTTTTGGATACTTGTACTCTGAAGGTATGACCAAGAGATGTAGCTACCTTCGTGATGATGTTTTATACATTCTGGCTCAGCCAGAAATTGACATTACACTGGCTTACTACAAAGAAGTCAACGTATCTGACCCTTATATGATGAACCAGACCTTTGAACAGCTGGAAAAGAATGCTAGAAGTGGGTTTGTTAGAGGGCATTGTAGAGTTTTTACGGGTTACTGTAGGCTTATTAAGGATTTTTGTAGGTTTGAGGGGTACTGTAGGTTTTATGTACTGTAATTTGAAATTATTTGAAATGATTTCATAATTCCATTTTAGTTGTGTTCCTTTGCTCCACCAGCGACACTGACAAGGTGAGCATAGTGCAAGGACTTGGTCGATATGGCTTGGTAACGAATCGCAATTTCGTTTTTATATTTGTTGAACAACGTGGTACTGGGTTTGGTAAGTTTTTTCGACTTTGTACACCTGTTATTAGTGATATATTCAGTATATTATACTAATATATTGTTCAAATAATTCTGTGCCTCCAAACCACGAAAAGTTGCTCTGTGAGGGGGTACAGAATTATTTTAACAGACTAATATCTTACAATTGTTAATACTATGAGTGTGGCACTACATACAACTTTAGACATGCCAACATACGACACAAATGGCACAAACAGTTATATACCATTGTGGCAGAACCCTGTAGTGACGAATCAAACCGAAATCCGAGAATATTTGAATAAATTTTTCTTCTTTGACCTTTCTGTTCCTTATACCATTCGAGATAGCTTTGAAGCCGCAGTAAAGAGAAGGTCAAGTGGATGGCCTTTTTACTGTACTACTTGTGGCACGGTGAGTTCTTACTGTAATTTTGCTATGACTTTTTTTTGAGATGGCAAAACGTAAGATCTAAGGGCAGAGCAGATGATAGCTGAGGTGGTATAACATTTGTCAAACCGTATAATTAAAGCTGAGGCGGTATAACATCATATAACAACATAAAAACCTACTATAATATATTTTCAGGTAGGCACAGGAGCCTCCAGCTTATCAGACGCTTTATATCTTTATGCCATTGCTTTGAACAAGACCCTGAGCAATCCAAATATATATCCAACAGCTACATCAAGCGCTTTGGGTACTGTAACTACCCAAAGGTTGAGGTTAGGAGCACAGATAACAGAAGCAGCGAATAATGTCACGTTTACTGGAGCTTCAGGAAAGTTTATGTTGGATGAGAACTCAATAAGAATCAACATGTTTGACTTGACTGGGCTATCAAGCAATCATACTATGATAACGTACTATCAGGTCACTGGAAGTGCGGTTAATGGGGTAGGTTTGAAGATATATAGTCTTTTTTACTGTATCTTATTTAACCTAGCTTACGGTACTATATTTTACTTTATCCTACTGTACTCTATTCTGCCCTACCCTACCTTATTCTATTGTATTCTACTTTACTGTACTCCATTTTATTTTATCCTACTCTACCTTATCTTACCATACTCTCCTTTCTTAGCTTGGCTTTTTCTACTTTAAACTTTCTTTTTACCTCGCTTTAAAGGAACTTTATTTAGCATTGTTGAATGCCACAGTAACACAAGTTACAGTATTACCTTTTTAGAGTGTGACCCCAACAAACTCTACGGCTCAAATCTGGACTAATTGGGGTAATAAACAGCCTCCGGCCGTACCAGTTTGTGGCTTTGATGGTTCTTTGTGTCCAGACTCTATCTTGAAGACATACGGAGGATATATATACGCTGCCATTGCTATCATCGCTATCTCTGCTATTGCTACTGCTACATTCTTAATCAGGTAGGGGTTTTTTTGGTGGCATTTTAATGTTTTTTCTTCTCTTTTTTGAGCGTTTTTTAGTTTTTTAACATTTTTTTATGTTATATTTGATCTACATTATCTTCTTTTTTTTGAAATTCAAAAAAAGTAAATAATACGTCCTGTAAAGCTTAAAAAAGTTTATATAATTTGAAAGTTTGACTTTAATATCTTAGCTTATAACAAAGTTATGTTCAGTTTAATGTGTGGAATTGTTAATATAATAAAACTAAAAATTGCAAACCATTCCAGAGGCCAATATCTAGAATACAAACGTCTAAATGCAGCTTGGCAGATTAATTTCGAAGACTTGTATACTCCAGATGAAAAGAATCCAGACACAAAGTCACTACAACCATCAGTACACTCACACAGTAACCAATCCGTACTCAAAAAGCCTGAAACAGAATGTTTTGCTTTTTTCATGCATCATACTGAAGCTGTAGCTGCGAGGAAATTCAAGTCCAAGATTATTATTCAGGCTAGGAATCGAGCCGAGTTCAGAATGGTTGGTTTATATTGGTATTATGGGTTCTTGTTTGATTCAGAAAGAATGGCGCGGTTTATATCAGAGGTTTTTATAGGGTGTTAGATTTGGTTTTAGGCTAGGATTGTATGACTATTGTAATGCATTGTACTATAGGGTACGGAAGGTAGTGTAGGGTGAGGTATGGTATGTTAAGATAGAGTAGGGTAAGGTAGGATGCGGTGGGGTAAGGTAATCTAGAGTAAAGTAGGTTATGGTACGATAGATTAGAGTAAGGTAAGGTAAGATAGGAAAAAGTAGGGTGCGGTATGGTAAGATAGATTATGGGGGGACAAGGATATGCTATGTTAAGGTACAAGATCTATTACTTATGATTCCCAACTTCAGATGCGTCAAATCGACAACAATAACCTAGCCAAGTTTCTTGGCTTATGCACAGATGGCTCTCAATACCTCTCCATCTGGAGATTCTACCATCGTGGTTCCATTAAAGACATCATCGCAGCCGGTAGCTTTGCCATCGATGGTGTATTCATGACTTCACTGATCCGTGACATAATAAATGGACTCCACTTTATACATCACAGTAGTTTACATTGTCATGGACATCTGAGCTCATCGAATTGTTTGGTCGACGAACGATGGGTGGTGAAGATATCTGACTACGGTATCTTGGATCTGTTTCAGCAGGAACCTATTGGGAATAAAAGTAAGGGGATTTTACTGATTTACTGGGGCTATCATGAAGTAGTTTAGCTTAAAGTTAGCATATGGTTATGTAGGATAATGTAAGGTAAAGTAGGAGATAGAAGGACATAGTAACATAAGCTGGCATACTATACACTATACAATAGTATGAGCGAAAATTTAGGTACTATTAGATTGTTCAAATAATTCAACTCCAGTTCAATAAAACCCATAACTCCTTCGCATTTTAGAACTTCTGTACCTAGCTCCAGAATTGCTCCGTAAGCCGCTACATCCATTAAAAGATGGTGTACATAAAGCGGTGGACATCTACAGCTTTGCCATGGTAGCAACAGAGATTATCAACCGTCATCCGCCTTGGGAGAGCAACAATCAACAAGTTGAAGACCCTGACGAGATAGTGTACCTTCTGAAGAGACGCAGAGACGTTCCTATTCGACCGGTAATCGATGTGTCGGCTATCAGTGATTTGAGTCATAATATGGTAGGTTTATAGAGGATTTAAGGAGGCTGATATGGTATTATTGGTGTAAAATGCATACAGTACTACTCTAATACGATGTTAATGTATGTATAATATCATAAGACTGTAGTACCAAAGGTATGTCAAAGAATGTATAGTATATATAGCAATGCCAACATTACGACAAAGTAAATCTTATGCCATAATATAGACATACTCTTCCACGTCTTAAATTACTATTTTAGCCAGCCCTGATCCAAGATTGTTGGCTAGACGACCCAAATAATCGACCGACTACTGGCCAAGTTCAAACCGTACTCAAGAGTATGGGCAACAAGAATCAAAGTCTGATGGATCACGTCTTCCAAGTGCTCCAGAATTACATGAACACACTTCAAGAAGAGGTCGAAAGCAGAACAAAGGCTCTGATGGAAGAGAAGAAGAGGTCTGATGTTCTACTTTATCGACTCTTACCTCGGTAAATTTTATTTTTGATAAGTTGTGCTTTAATTTTATAGCTTTACTTTGCTTAAACTGCCATTTTACCTTACAATAGCGTTGCCTTGCTCTGCGATGCCTTATCTCTAACTTACCTTACCTTAACCTACACTTCCCTGCCCTGCTCCATCATAACTTCTTCTAAGCCGTATCTTGCCATTAGTTATGTGTGCTAACTATTACTTTTTTCAAATAATCCTGTGCCCCCTCTCAAAGCAAATCTTCGGGATTAGGGGGCCCAGAGTTCTTCGACCAACATAATATAGTATTGAAACCTATAGCTTAACTTAATATGCATATTCCAGTCAAATCGCGGATAAGCTCAAGTCAGGAAGTGTGATTGAGCCAGAGAGTTTCGATCAAGTTACAGTATTCTTTTCCGACGTGGTACGATTTGGAGAATTGGCATCGAAGAGTACTGCGATTCAAGCGATCACTTTACTAAATGATCTTTTCACGATGTTTGATGGTGTCATTGAAACATACGATTGTTACAAGGTAGGGTTTTTGCTTTGGTAAATTTTTCCGCAGGGCATACTGTAGAATTCCTTTTTTATAGGTACTGTATTTTTTTATTTTTGTACTGCATACTGTAACTGACTCAACCTTAACATCTTGTACTGTAAAACAAACTCAATTCGTCACCGTTTCCAGGTTGAAAGCGTAGGTGATGACACATTGGTAGTAAGCGGACTACCAGTTCGAAATGGCAACAAACACGTGAAAGAGATTGCCAATTTGTCGTTGGCCTTCATGAACGGTGTAGCCGTGTTCAGAATCCCTCATTTGCCTCACGAAAAGGTACAATTGAGAATAGGCTTCCATTCTGGGCCGTGTGTAGCCGGTGTAGTGGGTTTGGCCATGCCACGGTATTGTTTGTTTGGAGATACAATCAATACGTCTAGTCGAATGTGCTCTAATGGTCGACGTAAGTTGGGGTTTTGGTACAGAAAACGGTCTTTCTAGGTTTCGGAGCTAGTAAATTTTTGTTGTTTTAATTAAAATGTGGTTTTTATAGTAATGAAAATTAGATCTAAAGTGTAAAAATGGATTTTTCAAGTACAAATTAGCTAAAATCAGCTTCGAAACCGTGTAATAACTCGAGATTCAGCCTGTACCTGAAATAAAATGCCAAAAAACTTACGCACCTCTTGTTCAAACAAATATAAAGCAACAAAAAATGCAAAAACATAATGAAACAGTTGATTTTTAGCTGACAAAATTCATTTATCAGCAAGCTCGAACCATCTTTTACAAGAAATCGGAGGATTTTCGACCATTTCTCGAGGAGAACTCATCATTAAAGTAAGTTTTTGCCGCTTTGAATTTAAAGTTTTAAGTTTAAGCCCTTTGCCCGTTTTAAAAAACATTATTTTTGATTGTTATGGTCAAAAAGTTTGTAGATATATCATTTTTTGGCCAAATGGTTTGTAGAAACGTCTTTTTTTTGGTCGGTTATTGTCAAAAAATTTTCAGAATTATGATTTTTTAGTAATTTTATAAACTTTTTTTGCCGAATTTAGTCACATTTTAATGGGTTCCAATTACTTTTTGACCTTATAGGCCTTTTTAAAAGAAACTTTAATTAATTTTTAAAAAGAAAAGAAAGTCGTATTTTACCAAAACCCCTCTAATATCGACCGTACTCTTTGTAGGGTAAGGGCGTGATGGAAACCTTTTTCCTTGAGGGCATGGCTACGGATTCACTTCCGTTCGTGTCCAATTCCCGGGAAACTACGGCTTCGTTAAAGGAAAGTTAACAATCTTCGTAATCGTCAATATCTACATCATCATTTATGTTTTTACCCTTGTAATAGCTATATATATACATTAAAACATTTTATGATAGTACAGCAATAAGATTTTTAAAAATAACAACGATTTAATGTCATAAACTATTGCAAAGTTGTCATGTTATTATGGATAGGAATACTTTGAGGTTCGGAAGTGATAAGACATTGTTAAGTAAGTAGTGTCATATAATGTTAGTATCATTTCAACATGTTATAGTAGGCTTTTACACATAACAATACAAAGCTTAACATGCTACAGTAAGATAATTGCCATAAAAATAATTCAATTACAACATGTTATAAAGAGCAACATCACGGATATTAGTAAAATTGTATTAGGTTGTTCAAATAATTCTGCACCCCTCAATACTAAAATGAAATTAGCCTTGAGATGGAGCACATAATTATTTGAACAACCTAATAACATGCTAAAGTAAAGTAAAACAACGCTATCTATGAATGCTACAGTAACCTCAATGACTATTATAAATGTTACCGTACCCTAGACGAATGTTAAGCGTGTTACAGTACTTTAAATGAATATTATGCGTTGGAAAGATTAAGTAGATGGAGGAACCCGTTAGAGAAAGACAATATAAATAATATACAATTCAATAAATTATGTCACAGTTATTATACCATTCTGAAGTTAGAATTCCGACATCACCGTCCCGAGGATAAGATATTACACATGGTTTAACAGGATATAAAAGTAATTTTCTCTTTTAGAAGAAGTGTTATACCATTAGAAGTGGTATTTTAAAAAAAATTATAAAATCTGGTGGTACTGTCAATAGTTATCGTTATAATTACGTCATTAAGGGTACAAAAGCAAGGTTAATATAGACCTTGACATACCTAACTTTCAAAGATTAATATAGAGTCTCAAAGGTTAATATAGGCTCTCAAAGACATTTGGAACACAAGTAAAGTGAGATATTTTGATCACAACAATATAACTTTAAGTTTTCATAATGAATAGCCATAGACCAGTGATATTATGCCAATTATAATTCGATCAGTAATACTAACCTCCCATTACAAATCTCAAAAAGGTCCTGGTTACCCTTTCAGCTCATCTTGAGTAGCTTCTCGAAGATAAACACCAGGAACATATCCTTTTGGGCCGTTGGGCTTCTGAACAAGGTACCATTCATTGTTACCTACTTCATCTGAATCCCTTAACAGAACCACTTTGTCGTTTTCGCGGATTTTCAATTGATTTGAGTCATCTGATACCGGAGAGAAGTCGAATTCACATACAAATACCTTCTTATTGTCCTGAAAAGAGTTGATATATTGTCTATGTTCATATTACTGCTTACTACTACAACAATATACTGCATAAACCTTATCTTCACTATATTAATATTGTCAACCCGGCTTACTACTCAAAACCCTTTAAAAACTTAAACATAACCTAAAAATAGCCAAAAAAATATTATCCACCCCCGAAAAAGCACTTAATACCCACCAATCCCAGGTCAGTCGGCCTCTTTTTGGCCGGCGGAGCTGGTGCGATCCTGTGTGGAGCTGGTGGCAGATTAGGTACAACATCATACAGTGGGTTCCCTGTGTTATTGTCCTTTCTTGGGGATATTAATGGCACAGGATTAGGTAATGGTGTTCTGTTATGAGTCGATCGTTGAGGAATTTGATATTTAGGTGATAACGATGAGTTTGGCGTGGGGGAGAAGCTGGCAAAGGGGTCGATTTCCCTGTTTAAGGTACCAAACGAGTCTAGTGAGGTGCCAGTTGATCCGAAAGAGTTTGAATTTTGATTAGTGTTAATGTTCAGGTTAGTACTGATGGTACCAAATGGGTCGGAGTTGTTGGTACCAAACGAATTCAAGTCGGTACTAGTGGTACCAAAAACATCATTTTTTGATTGAGAATCCTGATTCTGAAAGGGTCTTGACTTGGCCGCCAACTCAGCAAAAGATGGCTCTGACTTTTGGTTAAACGACGCTGACCTAGTCGGCTCCTTGTCATACATGATCAACTCCAACGGTGAAGTTGTTGATGTTCGTGCAGGTAATGGTGGAGGTAAACTCACAGCGGAAGCTCGACCATTTTGAGATGGCACATTAACATTGTTCTTCGTAGCACTGTTTAACGTCAAACTTTCATAATTTTCAGGTTTTAATGGTGTGGAAAAGTCCAAATCCAGGATTTGGTCGATTGTTGGTTTTGGCTTGGCTGGTGGAGTTGTGGCATCGAGGTCAATCAGATTCTGAGACTTTTGTCTTACTGGCTTGGCATGACCATTGGATTTGATTGTTTGAGGTTTTTGAGCTACTGGGGCGGACTTGTAGGTTGTAGGTTTGTAGTCGGAGATTGAATTGCCTGGTACAGTGTCGTAGGCTCCAAAGTCATCGAATGGTACCAGGATGTTGAGCGGGACCTTGTCTGTGTTTACACTGTTGTCGCAGTGGCTGAAAATTCGTTTTCAGCCTTCGAAACAAAGAAAAATTAAAAACTGACAAAATCTTTTTTTTTTTATTTATCGTTAAAAAACCAAATTTTAAATTTAAAAACCTGAAATTAGATAAAATCTAAAATAATTTTTTAAAAAATTCAGTTTTTTAAATTCTTTATTAAAAACGTTCAAAACTCACCAAAATCCATTCTCAAACCGTATGATAACCACAATATCACCCTTCTTCAGTAGCATTCGTGGTGACGAGTAATCGCAGATCACTTTTCTTAAATCCGGCAATCTATTTTGAGCCTTCAGGATTTTGATCAAGGCATCTCTTTCTCTGTCATTCTGTGGTCGCAATGAATATTCTCGATCGATGCTTCGTTTATTCTCGGCGAACACTTCTCCTGAAAATAGGCAAGTTAGTGATGTTTTAGGGCAAAATTTTAGGTAATTATCAAAATTTTTTTAGGTAATAATCGTATTTCTGTACTATTGGCCAATTTCAGTCAAAAGATAGGTGCGGTCCCAAACATATTGCCAGCAGTATAACCTAGATATGGGGATTGGTGCGGGGATGTTTTTCATTTTCTTAAATCTACTATATTCTAAAAAGACCCTATCAACTTACTGAAGCTCTTCCTGTTCTTCTTATTAACTTTCTCTGATGGCAAAAGCAAAAACTTTTGAAGATTCATGAGTCTTTGACCTCCTGGATCCACAAAGTTCGTGAAAGTGATCAAATTGAACATGGCCAACTTCTGTGGAATACTCTTGACAACTTCTTCCACCCGTACAAAGTACGCCGAGTCCAAATCGACCAGGATTTCTGTCATTTTGCGAACTTTTTCGTTGATGGACATCCATATTTTGGGTAGATTGTTCTTGGTATGGTTGTTGAGAGCTTCGAATTCGCATCTTTTCTTTTCGATTTCATCGAACGGACGAGCAGCGGCTTTGGCCAACTCGTAGTCGGCCAGTTTGTCACAACGCTTTTCTATCAGTTTGGCGTATTCGCATTTTTGGAGCTGTTGTGATGGGGTTACGATGCTAAAATAAGAGTTATATCAACTAAAGATAAAGTAAGACGCCAAGTATTTATCAGATTGGCCAAAGTTTATAAGGAAATTCATGATAATGATTTTTCTTATCAAAAACATTACAAAAAAGCATTAAATAGCCATTTTTGTTACCTAAAAATCCAAGAAACCTTAATTTTTATACCTAAATCTCCAGAAACTTACGCATTTTGAATAGCCCTCATATGCTCCTTCAACAAAATGCCAATCCTTCTTAGAAACTGATTGAATTCCTTTCTCAGATTCTCCTCCATGTAGCTGAATGTCTTATCTAAACACCAATATCAAATGAATCGTCCCACTTACTCTTTTCCACCGTATTCCTTCCGATATATTTTTTTACCATAAAAGTAAGTCTTGCTCTGTAAACTTGAACATGATATAAAAACTTGCAGAGTCTACGTTCTGCTGAGTCCAATTCTGACACCATCACACTGAATTCGGGGTCTGGTTTCTGAAATAATCGCTTTTATTTCACGTTTTACAGTATGGCATAAATGTAAAATCAAAAATATCTTTATGAAAAAAGATGATCATGTTTATCTTTTTTGTCAGTCAAAACTACTTACATTAGTCAATCCCATCGTCGATGCAATTCTGTACTTCAACCGATTACTCTTCTTCACCACGGTATGTAAGTTGATTTTAGATAACTTGTCGGTAATTGAATCCTTCTTCGAATCCGTATACTTGTTCACTAAAAAGATATTATCAAACACTTTTAACAAATCATCAATCAACCTGTCAATACCTAAACAGCAAGTCCGTACCTAAATAACCAGTCAGTACCTAAACAACCAGGCAACACCTAAACATCAACAATACATCAAAAACTTACTGAGTTCCTTCTTCCGTTTACTTTCGTTCATTTTACTGACCAATTGTGCCATTTGTTTGTTGGCTTCCAGCAGCTTAGGATGATCACTGTGTGTCAATGGTAAGATTTTAATCAGTTCATTTATGAATAGAGGGTACTTCAGAACACGTTGAATTGGTCGTGCTACAGCCGTCGGTACATCGAATACAAAAACCCCCATCTTGTTCATCTCCTCCAGACATTCTTTTAGTGCTCGTTGGAGTTCTACGTCGTTTTTCTGTAAAATTTGGAATATTATTACATTGTAAAATACGCAAATTTGTTTTCAATAGTTTATATTTTCATATAAGCATAAAAAGTTGCCACTTTGTTACCTAAAAAAAGAAAAGATAGCAAATAAGTGTGATAAACCTCTTTTTTAGTCTATTTTTGTCAAAATTTAATCAGTACTTAATCCAGAGCCAAAAAGTCTACAGTGTTATTACCTAAACTTATAAACAAAACATCAAAAAAGCTTTTAAAACCAAAAATCACAACAACAAACTGTATAAAATACCAAAAATTGTTTTTAAAAACCTACATTTTCGACGATTTGTGCCATTTCTTCGACACATCTGAAGTGATATGCGTATGTTTTGGATATCTTCTCCCTTAGATCCATAAATAACAACCCGTAGCTCTGTAATTCCAATGGTTTATCCATTTCATTCGATATTAATCTAATTAATCGTTGTGACAGGTCCTTCAACATTGGGAACCCATTCACCAAAACGCACTTCTTTTGCTCTGACAGTCGCGATGAAGACTTTATACACTAAAAAGTAAAGCAATACATTGTTAAAATTATATTGGTGTAATTTTTGAACAATAACAATAAGTCATGTTCTAAAAATCTAACCAAAAAAAAGAGAAAAACCCAAAAATAGTAACAACAAGCCATATCAAAACCAAGAAAACGTAATAAAAACCAAACTCACTTCTTCCCAAGCATGTAACTCCAGATTGTAATTGGTTTCAGAAGCCAGTAGCTCTTCCACGATCTTCTGAAACTGTGCTTGCCAATCGGCTGGCGTTGATGGCTTTGAAAACTGACCAAACACTTGCTCTGAAGATGGTGTAGATGGAGGTGGTGGAGCCATTCTCACCGCCGCTCTTAAACTAACTTGAGGTGGAGGTGGTCGTTGTGGAGGTAATTGTTTTGAAGATTTCAGCCCAAAAAGTTGATTAAAATCTGAATCCACTGACGCTTTATGCAAATTATTTTCTTTCATAGTTTCTTGTTCTGAATTCAGAGATACATTGCCTGAATCCTTTTTGGGATCATCGCCGCTTCGGTCGTAGTTGATAGAGTTTGAAAACGGTGTTTCCCATGAATCCGCAGTTTCCCTATTAAACTCAAACGATGTTGTAGAAGTTCGATTCTGATCGTATGAAGTTGAGAATCTGTTTTCATCATAAGAGTACAATGGTATTGTGTTTAAATCTGATGAATACGATGGTACCGGGTTTAGTGCTGCATTATTGAGTTCTGTTTCATCGTCCAAGAATATTTGAAGAAAGGTTTGAGGTATTAGGCCAGTCTCAAATGTCATTGGATTAAAACATTTGGCCCATTCCGAGTCGGGCAGCTCGATTATTCGTACGCTGAAGCCTGAATTCACGTTCAATTCATCTTGGAAACGAGCTTGGAAATCGTATAGGACCGTAGCAAAACTGAAATTTTTAAATGATAAAAGAAACCCTATAGAAAGTCATATAAACGACTAATATAATAAGATACATCGACAGTTAAAAAATAGATAAGTAAAAAAAAAGTTACGATCAAAACATACCCAATAGTATCAGGTTCAGAGTAGTCAAAAGCTCCAAATCGTTTCGACTCAATCTCAGCTTCAGAAGCATTCACAGGACTAGAAGAATCCCCATCCACCATGATCTCAACATGATTAGAGGGGAAAACACCTCTTTTTGTAATGTCGTTTTCCTCATATTCTCCTTCAAACCAATCCGCATTCCACTTTTTAATTAATTTTACCATTATCCCTTCTTTCAAGCTTAATTCACCTTCATAATCAGCACTAAAACAACAATATTAGTTTTTAAAAAATAAGAGAAACGACTTCTTAATGAAATTATAGATGATTTTAGCAAACAGCATATTGTATTACTAAAACAAAACCTTTTTTTACACAAAATTTATAAATAATAAAATTTTTTTGAATGTTCCCCAATTTAAACCAATTTTTCCTTCAAGAATGACCTCAAACCCTTACTCAAAGTCAAACAAAGCTCGACAGTGCGGTTCGCCGTTGAAATCCTGCCGTTCCGCCTTCGCAACGTCGGCTTTTTGTTGCAAAAACTGTCGTGGACACTTTCCTTGACGCTGGTCGCTTGTCTTAACCTCGACCCAATCCTCCTGCGACGAGCCCACCACCTTAACCGTCTCGCCCTTCCGCAGTTGGAATCCGTCGTCCATCACGTCCGAAACCACTTGAAATTGGGCTTCCACTTCCGTCTGTTCGAGCCCCTAAACAAACAAACAATAGTGAATATGTTTTTAGTTATTGGAGTCGAAACATTGACTCCTTGGCCAGGGCCGGGCGGGGACTTTTGGTCTGGGGGGCAGGGGTCCAAAAAAATCGGCACAGGCTACCAGTGCCGATTTTTTTTGCAAATTTTTTTTTACCGAAAATCCACAGGGGAGACCACGTTCAACTTTTTTTCAAAAATTTTTTTCTGGGGGGGTGAGGTACCCCCCCCGTCCCCCCCCTCGCGCCCGGCCCTGTCCTTGGCCATGATCTGCCTCTTACAGACGATATCTGTCTGGCCAGAATGTGCCACACAAAAAATCTTTCAATCCTCTAACTAAATCAAAAAAATATATATATATTATGCCACACCTACCTTGAGAACATGCGTGTAATTCAACGGAAACATTCCCTCCATTCCGATTGACTTTCCATTGTCCAAAAAGATCTGGCCTTTGGCCCAGTTATCATCCAGCCTCTCTACAACACCAATAAGTGCAAATGCAGGAAATTGGAGATCTCCCTTGCTTTCGGGACAATCGAACGCTGCAAAAGCTACTCGAACTTCCGCAAAATGACGTGGAATCACAATTGTGGCCAAATTCGTCTCATTCACAAGATGTTGGCTTCCATCCAGCCGTTCACATACCCATCTAAAACGTTTATTTTAGTTATCTTGTTCAAATTTGTTAGTATTAGGTTAAAACTCAAATTATAAGTTGTACAGTTAACTGTTATATATAAAAATAGCTAATGAAATAATATGTCGCGAAGTTGCGAGTTAAGAAATACAAAAACATGTTTACAAAAAAATAGAACCGGTCCAGAACAAAGAAGGTCTTTTTTATCTTGCAAAAACTGTTTATAGTTAGGCCGATTTGGCCAAAAACTAAGAAGTCTCTAACCAACTAGACCGCGGATCGGTCGTATTTTATATTTTTGGATAAATAAATATTTTATATACTGTAACTAGCTAATAATACTAATATTCATAATAATTTTATGACATGGGGGCTCAGCCGGTGAACTAAATTATGATTTATCCTTAAGTACAGGAAAATCATATCCTACTGTAGTACTTATCTGATCTATAAATAAATGACAGTTACTACCGTATGGTAACAGTAAATTACTGTATCGAAACCTATATTAAGCTAAGTTACGTATATTTTACTGTCACAAAAAAGACTCCTATAAATAACGGAGGTGACAGAATATTTCAATAATCTAGTGACTAGTGTATTTTACTGTGTTAAGTATTGTTGATATTAGTCCTCTAGGTGAAGGACAAAGATTAGTCTAATTGTTAGACTATTATTCCCGATTTCTTAAAGTTACGGTATTATAGCTAAGAAAATTTCTAAAATTTTTGCTATTCCGTATTGTTGTTGTCAACCAGTGCAAAACTTCTGGACACTTGGCAATATCAATTTTGTCGGGCTCAATTTATCCAATCAAGAATATCAAAGGGACCTGGATATCTCACCGATACAATCAGGCTAGTTTACCGATCCGCAGGTGAAAATTGTTAAGATTAGTTTTACTATCTGTCTTACAACAGTTGGTTACAAACCGTCCTTTCTAAATCTTCTTTGTTTTGATTTAAGATACCAAAATCATAATTTAAGCTTTTCTGTATCTTTGTATACATAATTTGCTTTAGTAAATCATATTGTTGTTACTTTACAAAAAAAATCCTTTTGTCTTTTGAAATTGTACGTCATTGTACTTTAAAGTATTCTGATTCTGTTCTGATCGGAAAAGACAAAGAATTATACAACAATAATTAAAATAAGATCTAAAAAAAGTGCTCAGTCCCGAGGGTTGACAAGATGATGTCAAGTAAAATGAGTCGTTTATACGCCATTGAGCCAAAATGCCATTTAAGAAGCGCCAACAAGATACTTCAGAAGGCCACGTCATCCGATGAACAACCTGGCAGAGATGACATGAAAATGTCAAACTTCAATCTCATAATGGAAAAAATAAAGAGCTGTCAAGAAAGTTGGGAAAATCTTATCAAAACATTACCAAAAGAAGATAAAGGAGAAGAGCAACAACATTTTGAGGAGTTGCATCTCAAGGTAGATGCACTCTCGATTCAAGTCAATGACTTCAAACAACAATTCGACAATCCAATCAAAATAAATGAACCATTTGTTCAAAATAGAGTACGGACAAAGCAAAGACAAACTCAAGGAGTCCGCCAGTCAACGCTCGCTCCAACATCAAATACTCGAAAGAAAGAGGTAGTTGGATGCATCCTATGCTCACGAAGTCACAAAGAATATAATTGTGATGGATACAAAAGCCAAGAAGAAAGATGGCTAAAATTAAAAGCACTACATAAGTGCATTGGTGTCTAAAAGAAGTTGCTCACAAATGTTGGATTGTGTGCATAATATGCCACAAGAAAGGACATAATTCAATTCTCTGCAAAAAGAACAAATGCTACTCTAACTTACAAAATTCAAAAAAGAATGTCACAAAAAGATGCTTGAATTTTGAAAGAAAAGATGATAAAAAGGGGAATTGTCTTCAAAAACTTCAGTCAACTCCAAAAGCTTCTACAACAATTAAAGTAGAAAATCCTGTCAAATATAAGAGTATTAAAAAAGAGTTGGCAAAAGTGAAGATGAATAAAGCCAAAGACAGTACTGAAAAAACTGAAAGACCAAAAAGAGTAAAATTTTATTTGATTGACGAAACATGGCTAACGCATAACTCAAACCTTCCTATGGCCCGAGTGTCGCGAAGTTGCGAGTTAAGAAATACAAAAACATGTTTACAAAAAAATAGAACCGGTCCAGAACAAAGAAGGTCTTTTTTATCTTGCAAAAACTGTTTATAGTTAGGCCGATTTGGCCAAAAACTAAGAAGTCTCTAACCAACTAGACCGCGGATCGGTCGTATTTTATATTTTTGGAGAAATAAATATTTTATATACTGTAACTAGCTAATAATACTAATATTCATAATAATTTTATGACAAATAGTAGAAACCACTTAACTTTTACAATAATGTACCTAATAGTATCATCGTTAGTTAAGCATTCGTAAATTTGACCCTAACATATAAAAATAAGTTATTTATCGTTCCTTTTAATTATTTTTTGTATTTTCAAAACTCATGTTTAAATATTGGCCAAAGTTTCACAGCAACTCTTGCTCATGGAGAAAGATTTTAACTTTATTTGGTAAGTTCAACGTTGAAATATACTTTTTAACTGTATAGATGTTCTTAACCTAAAAATCAATGTCTCTTTTAACAAGCTACAACACAGTTCTTCGAACAGTTATCTAAAATTCCAACAAAAATAAATAAAAACTTACAATGTTCCTTGTTTTTCCTTTGCTAATACAATCTCATCGACAAATAAAGTTCCATCTGTTTGAACTACACGTCCGTAAAACGGTTTGGCCATTCCAGGCCGGCTTTAAAAGATCCAACTCTAAAATTTTACGAAAAATAAATTTATTTCGTCTAGAAAAAGAGTCGCGCTGACGAACAGAATCCAAAAAATGCGTCGAACTCAAAGAAATGTTTAGAAAATAAATCGCGAAAAGGTTCAGAAAATACGTTATTGGTTACAGAAGATAACGGAAAAGTGTAGGAAAATTGGAAAAAGATTATTTCGAGTGCCGACAGAGTATGAATTCTAGCTTTGGTGTAATACATCATACGGATTCTGCTCTCTGAAGCGTTTATTTTTCGAAAAAAAGAGTTTGAAAAGGAAAATTTGTTGAATACGAGCTTGGAGTTTGTAAAATTAAGTTGGTAACGAGCTTTGAATTGCTAGAAATGGCTAGAAATTCCTCGAACCGACTAAAATAATTAGAAGTTTTTGGTTTCCAGGTAAATTTAAAGGTGAAAAAATAGTTTTCAAGGCTTAATTAGGCCACTAACCGGGTCATTTTTATAACAATCACGGGTTAATTATGAATTTAGTAATTAACTGGTTCACATAAACGAGAAAAATATTGTAATAGTGGAGGTATGGCCATCTTGAAGCCGTTTTTCGATAAACAATATATTTTTAATAAACAACAATATAATTATAATCGTTTGTACATCAAATTTAGCTGTTTTTCATCAAAAAGAAGCCGTTTGTCTATAATAACATGTTGAGACGGAACTTGAAACTATACAAAACATGTATAAAAAGCATAAACGTATATAAATAAGATTATAAACATAAATAAATTAAAGTAAACGTTCCTCGTAAATCACCAGAAGGTGGCAGGTGGTGTAATATCAGCCAAAAACATCTGGACAGGAAAAAAGTTTTAGGAGAATGTTGCGTGGAGGTTTTTGCAGAAGCGGGCGGATTCTTTTTGAGGTGAGTAAAGTGAGGGATGCGACGCCAATTAAGGAAATCATAAAGGCTCTCATTAGGTTACACGTTATTGTTGCTCTAATTTGGGATTTTAAGTGGGGAGGCAAATTTAAAATACGATGATAAGGACGTTTTAGAATGAAAAGTGTTTCACATTACCTTCTTTATGCATTATAAGGCCTTAAACAATTATATATTATGGCATTTTGGGCTCCACCTGGGCCCTTGTTCATCTACAGGCTAGTATAGAAACTCAAGAAAATCTACAGTTACTGTTTACAAAAGTCTTAACAGAAAATTACTGTTTATGGCTACACATTTCGAGCCTCAAAACAAGTTTTACTCTGAATAAGAAAACAAATTAATACCCAAATTGAGATGAAGATAGCACTTGACGAAGAGATAAAAGGCATTTTGAGTTGGCTGGGAAACGAGTAAGGTTAATTTAAACAAATACAAATTAAGAGGGAAAGTAATATTCACTTTCTCATAGTTTGAAGTTCAAAAACAATGTCAATATAGTGATTTTTTTGAAATTTTAAAGTTTAAAATAATTTGTTTTACTACAGTAAATGCTGTATTGGTTTAACATAGCTGAAAAGTTCAATCCTTTTTAGCTATGTTGATTAAAAAGCAAAAGAATAGCATAAATATTTTAATCTACGTCATATTTTTAGGTATCATCTTGTTTTAGATCAAAGTAAGCTTCCTCCCCAGATTAACAAACTTAAAATAAGTCTCGTAAAGGTAAACGACAGTGTTTTTGGAGCACCGGAAAGCAAACACGCGCTAACCTTTTCTCTATGTAAATCTATCCGTCACAAGGTCAAAATTAGAATATCAAAAGTGCTACCTAATAAACATTAATCTTCATAGGGCAGTAATTAAATATATTAAACATTATATAATATTACTAATTATATTTAGTCTCATACGAATAATAAATCATTTTATGTATTACAGTACATTTTCTTACTGCTTGTTAAAGTTTCTTTTACATATTACTGTTTACTAAGATATCATCTAGATCTTAGACAATACAAAATTGTTATTAGTACAAAATTAAGTATTAAACCATATTTTTATTAGCCTTATTAATACTATTTGATTACAATCGCGATTAATCGTACCAAACGTTTCTCAACGAAACGCCACATAAAACCGATACTTGCATGAACGAAGTGTCAAAAATAATAATATTTTCGCAAAAAGTCTTTATTTATTATTGTTTTTCGTTTATCCTTCATGTCTCAATCCTCTGATTCGGAATTTGATGAGCCAATCAGTTTCGAAGAAGATTACGAATACAAAGAAGCGGAGGAAGACTTTGAACATGGTGAATTCGATGGATATCCAGATGAAGCTGACAAGAATGCGGTGGAACCAAAGGAGAAGTGGGACGAGGAGGTTGCCGAGCACCGAGACATAAACCACGAACTGAGACTGTTAAAAGAGTTGTATAAAAGCAAAACGAGTGTTGATGAGGAAGATGAGGAGTTTTTGAAATGTTTAAACGACGATAATAAGCTTCAGAAGACCGTGAGGACAGCTTCTGAAGTTTTGAAGGAGTTTGACGAGAAAAAGGAGTCGAAAGACGTGGAAAGTGAGGATGTTCAAACTGGAGGAGGTTAGTTTATTTGTTAAATTATATATATGAATTTAAGGGATGATAGCTTAATTATCGATGAGATTGCGATATTGTAGTAGGTGTAAGGGTGAGGTTAACGTTTTTTCGTTATAACTTTTGCCAAAGGATAGCTGATGGATTGAAATCTTCAGTGTTATTAGAAAATATACTGTGCCAACTAACGTTTTATAAATTTTATAAAAATTCTTCTTTACTTCAAGTTACAGTGCTTACTGTACTTTTCCTTAAAGCTGTAGTTCCTTACAAAATGAAAATTTTTTGTACATTTAACAATTTTGAACTATTTTACGACATTTTATCGGGATCTTAAGCATTATAACATCATTTTCAATAAATTTGCAAGTTTTGAAAAACATGTGAGCTTTGAGAACCTTGTCCTTTGCAATGTTTGTTTAAAAAATGAAATTCATCCGAACCCAGGTCTTATTTGAATAATAGCAATCAAGTAATGTGTGGACAGTTGTTTTAAACGATTATTTGGAAGGACGACCCGTTGCACATCATTTTGTTGTCCTAACACATTGAATTTTAATTGTTTTAGGGCGTGTAAGACCTCAACGCTTTTTGACTGTATTAAATCAACGGAAAGTGAAAGGATTACAAGTAGCTGCTGATAAGGAAGATGATAGGCAATTGAAAGATACGGACGCTGATATAGAAGTAGATAATGACATTGAAGACGTGGATAACGAAAGATACGACATTGATAATGATAAATATGATGGAGATAATGAAATATATGGTGAAGACAATGAAAGATATGACACAGATAATGATAAAGATTTGAAAGAATTGGGATTTGAAGCTGTTAGTGTTGAAGATGCTTCGTATGACACGTTAGAAGCTGCAGGTACGAGCGGTGGAATCAATAAAGAGAAGGAGGGGGATTATGACAAAGCATGCGAAGATAGTGACGAAGCCGAATCAAAGTCTCAAATTGATAATGATGAAGAGCTGGCAAGGATTTTGGGAGGAGAAACTGATTTTCGTAAGTTTTTTTGTATGTTTTAGGAATAAGGTTGAAGCGTTTCATTTTAACTGTTAACTAATACGAACAATAAGGGGCATTTTGAGTGGGTAGGGATGGGGGTGGTTAAACCTTTCTAAAGCTGCATTTGAGATTTAAATTTAGCAGTTTATACTACGCTTTTTGATAAAAATAACAAAGTTTTCATGTTTACCTCGCTTTTCAAAGTGTTTTGTTGGAAAATTAATATTGTTTATTAAATTCTTCTTTATATATTTATAACTTTGTCATAGTTAGCTAATTGATGTTGTTTTAGGTAGACATGTACGCGTTTCGAGGGAAGTTCAACGGCTCATGTTCTCTAATCCAGGTTCAGCTATAGCCGATCAGTTCTTGAACATACGGACGACTCGGTCACAACGAAGATCGTGTAAGTTTTGGGGTTTGATTTTATTTAAATTAGTCAAAATGTAGTTTTTGCTGTTTTATAGGCTATATTTCAGATAGAACTCACGTTTTGGTAAGGAAAATGCTTAAAATGAATACTATTTTTTGGAAAAAGCGTTTGTAAAAAGAAAATTGATGGTTTGAATTGCTAACCTTTAATATAAAGGGATGAAAAGTTTTAAAATTAGTTGAAATATAACTAGAATAGGGTTGAAAGAGGTCAAGATGATATATGGCTGAAATAGATCAAAATGATATAGTATGCTTGATTTTTAAATTAGTTTTTACGTTATCTGATTTATATCTTACATATATAAAAATACATTATTTTAGCTCAACGAACAGATGAAAGTGTCACACCATCGCCTCAGAAGGAACGTAAAGTGTAAGTTTTACAATTTTTTTTTAAATTGGAGTTTAATTTTTAGAATGTTATTGAAAATGGCATTTTATGAGAATAAAGATTTTTTGTATTTTGTTTTAAAGACTTTTATATATTTAATTATGATTTTAAAGTCAATAAAAACTTGAAAAAGTGATTTTCACTGAACTTTGAGAAAATGAATCACAATCGTTTTATTTTCAGACGTCAGAAGCCGGGCAGGAAGCCCAAACCTACTGGATACACCTACGATCAACAAGGCCGTCTACTGTACAGAGGCACCATAATAGGCGATCAATGTGACTGTCTGAGAGACGAATGTGAAGGATGTTTCTTCCCATGCAAATCTTGTCTATCACCCAAATGTGGACCCATTTGTCGATCTCAACGCACTTGCATCGCCTACTGCACTGCTGACATCACCAGTGGAAATGAACCTCAAATAACTCGTTTCAATTCTTTGCGTAAGCCGGAAACCCTGAATATCTGATTTTGTGCCATTTCGGGCGACGTTAAAGTCTCCGACGATGTCATTTTTACTAATTAAGGTTGTATTATACATTGGGGAAGATTGACGTTGTTTTGGGCGATTTATTGTATGTTAATGGGTTGTATTAGGTTGTTCAATAAATTCTGTGCTTCCTTCTTAACTTTAATTTTTGGGTAAGGAGCACAGAATTATTTGACCGAGCTAATAGTTGATTTGCACAGTTTTTGTGCTTTAACGACGGGTTGTATGTACATTGTTGGAAATACGTATTTATATTGTACTTTATCTTCTTTTGTTAATCAAGCTTTCATGAGCCTCAGGGGTTTTCTTGTTTTATTTTGTTTATAAAGGTTTAAAGGTTTATTTTTTTATTTTATACGTTGTTAATGTCTTTTTAATATAAATTATGGATTTTTTCATTTGATGTACATTTTTTGCTTTTTGTGGATAATATGATAATATTATGAAAGCTCGTGTTCTTGAATATAACGTTAACATCGTTAATGTATCTATTTGTTAGTTTGATCTTTTAACTATTTTAAAATAGTTTTTAATGTTTGTAGACTTTTGCAACATTTTTTGAAAAGTTTTTAAAAATTATTTTTGGATTTTTTGAGTAATTTTAGGTAATATTTGTATTATCGTGTTTTATCTTTTCTTATTTTGGTTATGTTGCGATTTATTTGACTATAACAATGATAATTGACTTACAGGAATGTTGTAAAGCTGAACACACGGGTAATAATTGACACACATCATGAAGGAGTCAGTAGCACCATTGTTAGATAGTGAAGCTAAAAAGGCTGATGTTGGCGAGATTTTACCGGCAAGTGTTTAAAATATCGAAAAGGATAAATTTTTTGTATAACCGTGATATGTAGAAGATTTATCTTGATAGTAAGAAAACGTGGTATGTAGAAGATCTTTCTTGGTAGTAAGTAAACATGGTATGTAGAAGGTTTTTCTTGAGAGTAGTGAAGGAAGAATGGACTTACTAGTACAGTTTAGTAACGTTTTTAAAGTTGAAACATTTTAAAGATTTCTAGGCTGTCTTGGTAATTAATAGGTATTAAATATAAAAGTTTTAAAATTTAGTTTTAAAAGAATAATATAAAGTGTTATGAGTTAGATTTAAGAGAATGGTATAAAATGTTATAAGTTTACTCTAAGAGAATATTTTTCAATTTTTGATGGAAAAGGTGGGGTGTAATTCTTTAGCGGACTGTTTATACTTTGATTTATGTTAATCTTGTAGTGGTTACACGTGTTTTTTACCAACGATTGTTTATATGTTTTTGGAAGAATTCTTCTCTTCAAATTATTCAGAAGATTGTCTCAATAATTTGATGTTTTTTTGAAATTTTAACTCTTTTCGTTATCATAAGGATCGGCCGAAGTTGTACTGAATGGACAGGCATGTGCCTGTTTTATTTGGCTTGAAAAATAGGGTAGGTTCTGGTTTGGGTTTAAGTTGTAGGTTGGGTTTGCGCACCATGTTCTAGGCTAGGTTTGATTTTTTTTAAAAATAGGAATAAGAGGTTTTCTGCTGTCTATTCTGACTTTACTTTTAAATCAATTAAACTAGGCCTTAGCTATGAATGTCTAAATTTTGCTATAAATTTTTCAGTTTCAAAGCTTTTAACTTACATTTTTCTTTTTAAAAAACAAAATGCACTTTATGTTTCCTTTATGATCTCGAAGATCTTTGATAGATGAAACATTAAAATTCACGAAATTCTTGGGTTGATTTATGTAAAATCGACTAAAATGTTGTAAGATGAATTGTCTTGCGATGAGGTAGCAGTATTCCTTAGTTTTGAGCCGCCGCCGCGAAGATTCGTCGTTCTGATAGCACTCATTATGTCGTGGAATTTTTCGATTTTTTTTAATTGGCGGACGCTTTTTTCGCCTCAACGTCAATGTTCACTACCGTGTAGTTGGGGATGTTACGGAGCCGATCGGTAGGGGCCGACATTGGCCGTGTCACGTCTATTCCGGTTAGTTCATATTGTCATTGGTGCTGTAGGCTTGGGTTGGTATTGAGTACTGTAGTTTGGAATTGGTACTAAGTTTAGTGTCTTTACAGAAGAACTGTATATTTTTTTTCGGTTGATTATAGCTTTCAAATGGTGAAAAGTTGCTTAAAATATTAAAAATCAGGTGATAATCTCAGTACTTTGATGATTTTTGAATTTTTAGGTAACAATATTTTGAGTTTTTAGGTAACAATATTAATATGTTCATTTCAGCTTCACGTAGAAATCAGAAGAGAGAAGGCGGAAGGCTTTTCGACAATCAAAATAGCCGTACTAATATGGTTGACTCTACAAAACTCGGTGCATACCCTGTTACTTCGTTACAGTCGAGCACGAGACGTACCCGAAATGTACTTTTCATCAGTGGCAGTATTCTTCACAGAAGTCATCAAAGTGTTCGTATGTCTATATATGGTCTTCAATGAATCTCACGGACCTTTTGGGTAAGAAATTTGGTGTTTTAGAGATTTTGATCAAAAAATGTTTGAAAAGTATTTAAAAATTGATAGTTTTAGGTACATTTTTGATATTTTTTCCCGGTTTTAAAGTCTATACCGCAAAAAGAATTTAAGAAACGAATATTGCGTTAAAAAATTTGAATTTCAGCGGTTTCCGAGCCCTAAAGAAACAAGTTTTCAATCAACCATGGGACACATTGAAGGTTTGCATACCGGCTGTCATGTACACATTCCAAAACAACTTGTTCTATTGTGCCGCATCTCATTTGGAAGCGGCCACTTTTATGGTGAGAAATTACTTATTATGTTACTATTAGTATTAGGCTGTTTAAATAATTCCGGGCTCCCTATCAAAGCAAATTTGCTTGGTTAGGGGGCGCAGAATTATCTTAACAACCTAATATTACACAGGGATTTCATTATAGTGTTATATAGGGGTTTTTTGGAAAAAGATAGTCAGGTTTGGCTGTTTGGTGTGGCGGAACTTGAAAGCTTGTTATCTTCAACTAATAAGTGGCAAAAACCGACAGAAGGGCTTTCAAAATTGATTTTTGTTGCTTCAAAGCTATGCTTGGAGCTCGTGGGGCCTTAAACTTACTTTTTTATAAAGGACCTCTGTCTAACAGCTTTTATTTAATTTTAAGTATTAAGTTAGATTAACTGGTTTTCATGTTTTAGATAATTTCCCAATCTAAAATCTTTACAACTGCGGTGTTTTCGATCATCTTGATGAATCGTCGTTTGTCTGGAATCCAATGGTTTTCATTGGCTGTATTAACTACTGGAGTATGTCTAGTACAAATGCAAACATCCACTACGAAAGGGAGGGCTGGAGACGAGCAGAATCCACTGATTGGTAAGGTTTTTGGCTTTTTTATGGTCAAAAATTACGTAGAAATATAGCTTTTGAATGCTAAATTTGTACACTGGATGTCTTTTTAATTTATTCTTTGAACAATTTCGGTTTTTTGCTTTAACTAATGCTTATGCTTTAAAACATGCAGTTTTAAAGTATACTTATCACTTTTGAACTTTAACTTTTAGGTTTTGTCGCGGCTCTAACAGCGTGCACGATTTCCGGCTTTGCTGGAGTATACTTCGAGAAGATTCTAAAAGGCAGTGCTCCAGTTTCGATTTGGATGAGGAATATCCAGATGAGTGTGTTCGCCATCCCCTCGTCATTCATTGCCATCTGGTTGACTGATGGAGCGGCCGTGAGAGAAAAGGGTCTTCTGTACGGCTTCGATGGTGTAGTTTGGTTGACCTCGTTTTGGTATTGTATCGGAGGACTATCGGTGGCGATCTGCATCAAATACGCCGACAACATCGCCAAGAACTTTGCAACTTCAGTAGCTATTATCATTGCTACGATTGCTTCGATCTACCTGTTTGACTTCAGGCCGAACATGATGTTTTTGTTGGGTGGTACACTGGTTATCTCGAGTATATTCTTGTATTCGTCTAAGGGATTCACCACGAAGACGAGGAAAGTCGATGAATCAAGAGTGTAACCGGAGTTATGGGGGTAGATCTTTGTTTTTAAGGTGATTTTTTGTATCTTATGTGATTTTATTATATTAGGTTTTATAAGAAGTAATGAGCTGTTTCATAGCGATATTGGAGTTTAGTAGCTCATAACTTTTTATACAATTTAATTGTTTGTTGTCTAGATAGCGTAACATTGTCTTATTTCTATTTTTTGCAGTTTTTCAAAATTTTTAATTGTAAGAAGACCTCGAAAAAGTTTTGTCGTTTTGAGAAGTGCAAATACATATAAACTAACGACAAGACTTTTTGTGACTTTAGATTTTAATTTTTTGCCGGATTTTTTGCTGGTAAAACATTATTTTGAGTATCTTTTTAGTAATCATAATATTTTATAGCCTTTATAGTATTCTAAACTTCTAATATTATATACATCATATCAATCTGTCTTATCACCTGTGATTTGCTTTGTTTTACAACTTTGAGTAAGACGTTTCAAAGTTATTTGCCTTTTCCAACACTCGTTATCATTAATAACATGTCAAGTTTCTTGTCTTTTGGGCGATTACAACATTTTTACGTGTCAAAAGTGTTATATTGTCTTTGATTGTGATAGCAGGTTGCTACTGGCAAGTTTTGTTACCGAATCACTGTTTTACAAAAAAACTTTTTGTGGTATTAACCGCTTTTTCGTCATTAGGTTGTTTAAATAATTCTGTGTCTTCTAACCCCAAAAATTCGCTTTTGAGAGGGGGCACAGAATTACGTGAACAACCAACTAATGTTGTGGTATTACACATCGAAAACATAGTCATATCGCAGGTTGTAGATCGTCTTTCACGAATAATTTATTTTGTTTTAAAATTTGGGGCCAGCCGTCTGGCAACCCCACCGATCGGCCCATTCTCTCGTTTTGGCTCTCGAAAGCGCTTTCGCCTTCCAGACCGACCGCGACGAACATGGACCTCGAATCCCAGCTTCAAATCGGGTTTTTGAATTATTTGTTTTAATTTATTTTTCGTCTTTACCGCTCAATCTTACAGTTTTTTTTTGTCTTTATTGTACTAGTTTTATGGGTTTGTACTGTTTTGAGTTTGAACAGGTTTGCTTGGTACTATTTACGGGTGTGAAATGGGTATTTTTTGGTTTTATAAAGTAAAAAATGCTTATTTTATTAACTTGTTCACTTAATTATGTGCCCTCTAGCTCGTTGAGAAGGGGCACAGAATTATTTGAACAATCTAATATTTTAAACATGTAAAATTTTTTGATTTTTAAAACGGTACTATTTGGTACTGTTTTATTTTTAAATTGCACAGGCGTAGTACCTTTTTACATTAAATAGTACAAACTAGTACTATTACTTTGTTCACATAATTATGTGCCCTATAACTCTGAAAAATTGGTTCGAGAGGGGGCGCAGACTTATTTAAACAACCTGGTAGTTCAAACATAACACTGTACAGACGATTAGTACCATTATTATGCGATAAATGTCAAAGTTGAGCAAGCTAACTGAAAATAAATATATTATGTTATACTAGGCAAGTTAATGAATATTAGAAGCCGAATGGTCAGTGTCCATCTTTTTACTGATTCGTTTGGTTCTTAAATGTTCACCTTAGTCTGGTTGAATATTTTAGGTTCGATTTGTTGTAATGTAACCAGGGATAGATGGTTTTGGTTTGGGTGAGGGTCAAAGCGAATTTGATTTTAATATTTATTTTAGCCTTGAAATTCAACCGTGATTGTGAAGACTGTCGTATTTTACCACTTATATTATTTTTTGAATAATTCCTTACCCGAAACTCCTAAACTTTATTCAAAACCACTAATACCTTGCCTTCAGTTCAATGTCGAAGAATGACATTGACAAGGAAGCGCTGACAGATGTGGAAAAACAACCAGAAACAAAAGAAAAACAACGAAATTGGGGTAAGAAACAACATTAAATATTAACCAAGCTTCAGAATATTATCTAAGATATGTGAGCTTAATAGTACTGGTGGTACAGAACACTGGTCAAGTGTTGTTAACAAGGTATGCCACCAGGAGAGATCAGGAGCAGTTTATAAAAACAGTGGCAGTGTTCTTCAATGAAGTGGTTAAGTTGATTGCGGGTTCTATATTGTTTTTGTTGTCTACGGGCGATGTTAGGAAGTAAGTTTATGGTTTTATTGATGTTACTGTATACCTTTTTCTTACTTTTCTTTTCTTTATACTTTAAAAAAAGTATTTTCGTACATTAATATAGCTTTTCGAATTGTGCTTTAAGTTTTTGGCTTTCAAACTACGGTAGAATTTGTAAATCTTGCTTATCAATTGTAAAATTTATGCTTACTCTTTTCAAAGCACAGCGTTTAACAATAAAAGAATAGATATTAAAGAGAATGACCATTATAGTAAACCTTTGATATAATTTGTCCTTTTTCAGAGCAGGATTAGAGCTAAAGCTACATTTTGTTACCCATTGGTTTGAGACGTTGAAAGTCGGTGTGCCAGCTTTTATTTACACAATACAGAACTTCTTACTGTATTTATCTATCGAACATTTGGATGCTGGAACTTATATGGTAAAATTTTAATTTTTTTGGAATTTCTAAGTTTTTTTTTAATTTTAAAGATTGAATTGATTTTTTTTTGATTTTTAAAAAAAATTTTGAATTATTAAAAATTTCTGTTTGAAATAAATTTTTTTTCAAATTTAGGTAACATATCAACTGAAAATCCTAACAACAGCCTTATTTACTGTGATAATGTTGAAAAGACGGCTGTCACTAGTTCAATGGGCGGCATTGGCTTTACTTACAGTTGGTGTTGCTATTGTGCAAATCGTAAGTTTTTTTGTGAATCGGTACCATTTTGTGTGATTTGTTAGAGTACGATAGATAGGACAATAGGGTTGATTTCAAATTTGTTTGAAAATCGTTATGCCAAAATATGAAAGTAATTTTCTAGAGCGCAGGAAAAGCTCCAGCACCAGTTGTCGCATTGAATGGTACTCTAGTCTCTACCACAATAAAACCAATATCTAAAGCTACAGAACAACAACCTCTAATCGGATTTAGTGCTGTTGTGACCGCTGCCATTATGTCAGGTTTTGCTGGAATTTACTTCGAGAAGATTCTGAAGGGATCGGAAGTGTCGATCTGGCTACGAAACATACAGTTGTCCGTGTTATCTATTCCTATATCTCTTGTTGTAATAGCCGTAAGTCTTTTTCTTTAAAGTTAGGGGGCGGGTTAAAACAGTTTTTGAGAGAAATAATTTTTCAAAAAAAAATTTTTAATTTTAGGTCAAAGACCGTGAAAAAGTGCTCTCCAGAGGCTTCTTATCAGGCTTCGACTATGTAGTATGGTCAGTCGTGCTATGTCAAGCACTAGGAGGCCTTATTGTAGCCGTAGTAATCAAATACGCTGACAATATTTTAAAAGCATTTGCCACATCAATAGCTATCATTGTGGCATGTTTAGCATCTATCGTACTATTCAGTACCTTCCCTACTATAATGTTTTTACTTGGAGCTGTACTAGTAATTGGTGCTGTGGTACTGTATAGTACGTTCCCATATCGAGCACCATACCATCAGCCAAAGGAGGACCTAAAAATGGAAGATTTGGCTGAACCTTTAGAGGAAAAGAAAGAGGAAGATGGTGCGAATGATAATATTAAGGATGTTTAGCTGTGATGACAGATATCAAATGGCGTTTATTGATCATTTTAGTAGAAGAATTGATTTTTTAGATATACTTGATCGTATTTTGGATCTAAAACAAGTTTATCGAAGCTAGCTAGCATTTCTTCTTTAATTTACAACAAAGAATCTTATAATTTACTGTAAAAAATTCACAACTCAATACATTATATCAGCTATTTAGGTATCAAATATAGATATTATGACATTTAGTTTTTCTTATTTATATTCTTTCTTATATTGTTTAATCCGATTTTTTTGTTTTTTTTGTGTTTTATGGTTTAGTATCAAAAATAGTATTAATAATATTGTAATAGAGCTTTTAAAGCACTGTCAACTTTAATGTTATGGCAATATATGATATAACAAATGTTGCTCATTTTATTAATAAATAAAAAACATAATATATATTGTTCAAAAATCTTTAATATAATGTTATAGATAAATAAAGTCGATTTTGTGCAATTTTGAATATTTACTTAAAGTTTTAATCGTATAAGATGACGTTTGACTTACTTTAAACAAAGGGCGCAGGCCGCAACAAAAATATAATATTTTGCGAAATAAAAAACTGCTTGGAATAACAAATATTTGTTAATATTTAAATACTTTTCTCTTATACACAGTATTATTTGTACTCTTATAACCTTGTTATATTGCCAGCGAAACGATGTTAGGTGTTGTTGATTATGGCAGTTCTTCAGAAGGCAGCGATATGGAAACAAATGAGGATAAACCTCTGCGTAAGTTGATTTTATATTACTGTTACATTTTTAGGAATCTACATGCAAATATACAATGCGTCATTGCTTTAAAAACTAAAAGGAAAGAATACAAAATAATATTATAGGTAAAGGAGTTCTAAATCTTCCTCCAGTCGTTCCGAAACCGAAAATCAAGAAGAAGATCGTGGTTGGAGAAGATAGGGTTGTTCAGGAGAAGCGGGATTGGGAGAAGAAGATGGCTGAGCAAATGGATAAGGATAAAGAGTTTGTACGCAAAACTGTGAATGAGAATACAAAGAAGAAGATTGTCTTACCGTTTGCTAAGGTTCCTAATGGGTCAAAGGCTGAATCGGACGATGAAGATGTCGCTGTAAGTATATCTACATTACTTTTTATTATGGTTTAGTTGAAAATGTGTTTTAAGCGTTCTGTCTACATTTATAAAAGTTTCAGACAAAACCAAAGCTTCCAAAACCATCGTTCAAGTCAGAACTGCTCAAAATCTTACCTCAACCCAAGAATCCGGTAAAGAAAGCTGCTCCATCTTCTAAAGCCGCTTCTGTTATGTTACCATCGTCGATTACAAGGAAGAAACCGGAGAAAAGACCATTGGAACAGGAAGTTTTACCAGTTAGAACCGATATTGTAGAAGGATATTCGGATTCTGATAACGAAGAAGATGCAGAAGACTTCTTTGGGTTCAATTCGAAACAAGCTGAAGTACCATCTGTACCAATAGTTGAAGAAGAACAATTGAGTGCACCAAAAGCTCGAGTCTACATTGATGAACAAGCTCCAGGGCCATCATTTCCAGCTCCTGATGCTGAGACTGATTACAGTATGAATGCTGATTTGGAAGAGAAGTTGCTGGGAAGACGGAATATCACGGACGAGGTAAGAGCAATTGACTTTTTGTTTTGGTTTTAGGTTAATTTAAAGTTGGTCTTGTAAATGAAGATATAGTTGGTAACAAGGTCTGGTTTACATAATTTTTTAATGTAAAAATAAGTAAAAACATTTATTTCTAGGAAGCACAAGCTTTAATCTACCAAAAAGAGCTAGCGCCATGGGGTGCTACAGATCGTGGAGCTCGAGAAGCTGTATTGAACATTGTGGATGTCAGTGTTGATCAGGTAATTATTAATCTGTTCTTTTAATAGTTTCACGCTTTAATGTTTAAAAATTTTTTGAAATTTTACGTTAGACTGAAACGTTTCTACTATGTTTTTAAAAGCTTCCCTAGAGATTAATTATGGATGAACTTAGGTCTTGTTTTGTCTCTCGAGGTAGATGTTACCTATAAGCATATATTTACAGACCTTAGGCCCTAACGTTCGCGAAACCCTTCTACGGAATTTGGATCAGAAGAATGCAGTGGCGACACCTCTACCCCAGGTTAAGGACTCGGGAGATCGGATGGCGAAGTCGAAACATCAAATCACACATTTGGCAAAAGTTGCCGTTGCTCGTGAAACCCAATTGCAACAACAATGGGCCGACAGTAAAGCACAGAAGCGACAAACTAGACAGAAATACGGTTTCTAAGGTATTTATAACAATAACTTATAATTTTTTTCAAATTAAAACCTTCGAACAATTTTGCCAAAGCTCACTTTATTGGTACAGAAACTGTTTGGCACATACTTAAAAATTAAAAAAATCGAAATATTCACAAGTTTGATTTTGAAATTTGAATAATGCAAATATTATGGTGAATAAATAGCAAATATTATGTTTAGCTTTACTGAGAAACTCCAGTAGATCCGAATCCTCCATCTCCTCTTTCGGTTGGTGACAACTCTTCCTCCTTCACTTCTTGAAAGCTCGCATGAGCATAGTGTTGAAGAACCATTTGTGCAATTCTGTCGCCAGCCTTCACTTTGAAATCACTATCCGAATGATTGAAAAGACAAACTTTGATCTCTCCAATATAGTCCTCATCAATAACTCCAGCCCCAACGTGGATACCGTTCTTTACAGCCAAACCGGAACGAGGAGCCACCCATCCATAATATCCACGAGGGAACTCCATGCGGATTCCTGTGGACACAAGGGCTTGACCTAAAAGGCAGATAAAAATAATAACCCACATAATGAGATTAATAATTTTTTACTAAATTTGATAGGAAACCATTATTTAGGTACCTACCTTTAGCTGGCACGACCAGCTCTCCGTTGCTGTAAAGGTCCATTCCAGCGGCTTTGGCTGATCCATACGTGGGTATTTTCGCACCTGGTGCCAAAGCAATTTTGCACATGAGCTAAAAGTCAAAATAAAAACATTACAAAGTAAAACTTACATTCGGTACGTTTGGTGGAGCCATTTTCTGAATTTCGACGGTTGTGTATTACTAAAAATAAATTATTTTAATTTTTAAAAATTCTTGCTATCTCCTATATATAATTTTTAATTCACCCGGTTACTTTCGTTACAATTATGTCGCGATTTAAACAATAAAACATGTTAATTTATTGATAAAAAACTTAAAAACCTCAAAAACAACATTCTACACCAAGATTTCAAATCAATATGTAAAAAAAACAACAACAATAATAAAACTCTAACTTTAATTAAGACCCACTGAATATAGATTTCTTCAATAAAGCTGATCTTTCTTTCTTGAAGACAAGTAATTTTGCCTAAAATCACCACGAATAGTATTTTAAAACGCTGTTTCCCGCTTCGATCTTTTTTCACATTATGATGTCGCCTGGGTCCCGGCGCGAAAACAAAATTGTCTACGGTAGACGTTAAAAAATAAAATATTTTCTTTTATCTCCTCTTTTAGCAAAATTGTATAACTTTTACAATATTTTGTTGTTAAACTGCGTGTTTTGATAGTTAATATATTCGTTTAATGAGTTAGTTTGTTTAAAATTATATTATATTATTTTTATTTTGTTTCAGGGTCAAACAAATTTTAATTATGGCTGATCGCGCTGGTTTTGCCGGTGGCTTCGGTGCTGGAGCCCCAGCCCCGGCTGGTGGAGCTGCCCCAGCTGGCGGTCGTGGTGCTGGTGGACGTGGAGGTCCAGGAGGCCGCGGACGAGGTGGACCACGTGGTCCACGCCGTGGACGTGGTGGCCGTGAAGGAGAAGGTGGCTGGACTCCAGTTACCAAGCTCGGTCGTTTGGTTAAGGAAGGAAAGATCAGCTCTATCGAAGAGATCTACCTCCACTCTCTCCCAATCAAGGTAAGAGTTTTGTTGTTGTTTTTGATTTTTAGGTAACAAGCGGAAATATCAGTATAGGGAATTGTGTAATTTGAGTTTTGTTGTAAGGGTATTTTTTAATATTTTTTTTCATCAATGGGACGAATCTACAATGTAGCCAAAGAATAAGAAAGATTTGGGGATTCTAAGACTAAAGCACTATTTTTTAGGAGTACGAAATCATCGACCAATTGTTGTCCGGATTGAAGGATGAGGTCCTCAAGATCACCCCCGTCCAGAAGCAGACCAGAGCCGGTCAACGTACCCGCTTCAAGGCTTTCGTCGCCATCGGAGACAACGACGGTCACGTTGGATTGGGTGTTAAGTGCTCCAAGGAAGTCGCCACCGCCATTCGCGGAGCTATTGTTGCTGCCAAGCTCTCCATCGTCCCTGTCCGCAGAGGATACTGGGGATCTAAGATGGGAAAACCCCACACCGTCCCTTGCAAAGTAATTTTTCTTTTTTAACATCAACTATCATATTGGTTTTTACAAATATTTTGTCACATGATCTTTGCTTTAAAAATGGCGAACTAGATCCTTCTGATACGTATTATTTTGTTAAAAAATATGTTGAATAAGTTTTTAAAAGGTATTCTATATTCTATATGTTTAAATTTTAGGTAACCGGAAAGTGCGCCTCCGTCTTAGTACGTCTGATTCCAGCCCCCCGTGGTACCGGTATTGTCGGAGCCCCCATCCCAAAGAAACTTTTGGGTATGGCCGGTATTGAAGATTGTTACACTAGCGCCGTCGGACAGACCGCCACCCTCGGTAACTTCGCCAAGGCTACCTACTACGCCATCCAACGTACATACTCTTACCTTACCCCCGACCTCTGGAACGAGAACGCCCTCGAGAAGTCGCCCTACCAAGTGCACCACGAGTTCATCACCCAAAAGGCTACACGTCATTAAGATGTTCAACTTGATTTGTTTTCCGTCATTTGTTTGCTATTTTACTTTTTGTTAATGAAATAAAAATGTTGTTAAATATACCGATTTTTATAAACTTTCAACGCATGAATTAGAAACTTTTGACAAAATGCGGAAAATAAAAATTTAATTTTTTAAAATTCTTCTGTTAAAAATACTTCATTATTCCAATTGTTGATCCAGCTGCCCACCGATCCTATTCTTAATAGCATTATTCTATCCCAAAATTAAGAAATCTTAATTTTATGTCATTGTATACAAATAAATTTAACAAGTAATATTCAAATTTAACAACCATTCTAAATAATTAGTTGCATCGAGGACTTCTGTTCAAAATACCAGCATATATTTATACCGACGTTCTCTCTTCGAATTTGGCCAGCTGGCTACTGACCCGGGACATTTGATTCTCCAGTTCGGCGATTTCAACCCCACTAGAATCACAATAAAATAATCACTTAAAATAACTTACTTTTTAGATAACATAAAAGTCTGCGCACTGATGGAGGCTTGGAAGGGTTTGGCAGGGGCTTTTAGTTTAGATTGGATCTTGATGAGTCTGTTACAGGAATTGGCCAATTCTGTTGAGAAATCTTCACATTGGTCTTTGATCGCTTCCAATGTGGTCCTAGCTTGAGTATCGTCTTTGAGGTTGTATGATCGTTCTTCTACTACGTCGATAATCTACAACAACATTAAATTGTTATATCAAGCCGTTCACTTACACTGTTAATAGCAATTCCGTATATCTTACAAAATACACATCAACATGCATAAATCAATTTTCATATAGAATCTGAAAGAAGACTTACTCTGCTGAACCTGTCTTCTAGCATGGCGTACTCTGCTTTCACTTCGGACAACTTTCTTTTGCTCTTCTTGACGTTTTCGAAGATCTCTTTGACTTTGTCAAACACACCTTCTTTTGCTTCCATTACCTGTTTAGTTCTTTGTTCTACTTCTCCAATACTAAAGAGTACCAGTTGATATTTTTTACAATATAATACACGATTTTTATATTTCTTACAAAACCTCTTACTATATATTTTAAAATCAAATCATCGAAAACAACGTACTATTTGACAACATTAGCAGACATGGCCGTTTGAAAGCTAACTTGACCAATCAGGTTCTCTACTGAACTGTCGATAATCTTCTTGTGTTCCTGTTTATTCGTCGTTTTGATGGAGATCTGTGGAACACCTACGTTCTGTGCCATTTTCACCGCCATGATCTTTTTGATGTGATCTGGTGGAGCTCTGTTGTTCCTCAACTCCGGCTCGATTACGGTCTTTTTCGTGGTGCGGTAGATAAAACTAGCCCAATAATTTGGTTCTGTGTCTGCTACAGCCAATAATGTGACATAACCGCTGCCTTTTTCCAACAGAACTAACGCCACACTTGAGATTTCGATGTCATCCGAAGATACGTTGAAGAACAATGACTTTACAGTGCAATATTCAAGTTGAGTGTTAGATCCATTGCTTTGTATCAATGAAGCAATTGTGTTTGTGGCATCGACTGACACTACTTGCTTTTCGTTGATTATTAGGTAAGATCCGGCTTGGTTTGGATCTGAAAATGTCACAAAAAGTATGTCATTGAATTAAAAAACATGTCATTAAGATAGCGCAAGTGTAGTGTTATATAATTTCATATAAAATTTCGTTTAAGTCATATGAAGAAATAGTCTCACATTAATCAACCAATGTCATCAATTCTAAACAGAAAAATAGTTACCTCTTTTGAGAACAACTGATTTGTTCTCTGGTACCCAATCACTAAGGCGAACAGAATCCAACAACTCCAACTCTACATTCTGAAACTAATTCGTAGTAAAAAGAAGGATTTCTTCTTCAAACACATTATATCATTACATAAGCCCATAAACATAACATTATATAAACCTACAAACATACCTCACTGTTCCTTCTGTGAAGCAAAGCATGAAAGACTTCACCTTTGAGTGAACAGAAAGCAAACACAGGTAGCTTTCGGTCAAAGTCATTGGTGATAAAGACTACATCTTCTGAATTCGAGTAGAATTCCATGTCTTCTGGTCGTATCCCTTTCAAGTCGATCGGTCCAATTGGTTTTGCTTCTCTGAAATTAAAATTAGGTCCTCCTTCTCTTTTATCTTCATTACAAATTGTTTTCCATACCTTTTTGAACATATAAACCATTTTAAACACGATATAAAACCAACTTACAAATCAAAATCTGTGTGAAACTCAGCGTAGTACACTTCACCGCTATCATCCAATGCAACGACTGATAACCACGTCCTATCTTCGTTTGACTTCAGAATCTCTGATCCAAATTCAAATGACACTAAAATCGGTAATACTTAAAATGGCATTACACTAAAAAATTTCCTATTTGTACTAAAAAACACAAAAATCCATGTTTCCCTTCTATCTTCCAAAAATTAGACCTTGTCGCAGAGCTTCAAATAGACTTACTACAACAATAGGGCTAAAATAAAAAATATGACAAAAAGAACATACCAATCTTAGACACAAATCCATATCCTTTACCAGTATAAGATCGCTCGGTCTCATCAGCACCTAACAGAACGCTTGAGAAGTCGATCGAAGCAATCGGCTGGCTTTTACTCTTCACAACTTGATATACCCTAAAACATTTGTTATACTACTTGTAATCCAATTTTTAACACATAAAACAACATTTATATAAGTATAATATACAGTTTGAAAAATGCTTAAAACTTGAAAAAACGCTCAAAAATTATACAACTCAAGCACAAGAAGATAAACAAACTTACCTCAATTTATTATCATCGTACAAGACCCCTAAAAAGTTCCCCCGTGCGTTAGATTGCTCCAAATTTAACCATGCCACCTTCTGAATTGGAGCACCTTTTTGAGATATGAGAAGATTTGAGTTAATGATTGATAATCTAAAACATTTTGATTTAAAAAATAAAATTCACAATCACCATAAAGCCGAAAAAACCTTTAGGTAAACAAAATGCTATACTAATTACGTTTTCTTTGAAAAAACATCTAAATATAAAAATAAAAGCAAAAAAAACATACTCAGCATTATATTGAGATCTAAAGTGAGTTGTACTGGATAGCTTTGTTAACGACTGACAATCCCAAAAGTCTCTTGGCATTTCCACAACCATAACCATTCGAACACCACACAAAGCCACAAACTTTCCATTGCTAGTGGGAATAATCTCCACAACATCTTGATATGCTGGCACTTTTTGAGTGAAATTCACAGTCTGAAATGAAATATGTAAAGATCGAGTCATAAATAATTCCTAATTACTAAAATACTGCAGACATTGCTGATAAATTGTTGTTTTTAGTTCGAAATTAGCGGTTCCAAACAAAAAGGACTAAACTTTATCAAAAAAAATAAGTAGGGTTAGGATATTAAGGTTTTAACTTCTGAAAACTCCAAAGAATTAAAAATATCTTTAACTGAGTAGTTAACCAACCAAATAATGTGCAATGCCATAAAGTTTCAAGTCTTCAACCACTCTTTCAAAAAAGTTATGTCATTAACAAGTAACTATAAAAAACTAACAAAAGTTTGTTTCTAAAAACCAAAAAAATCTTTAAAAAACTTACCGCGACCTTCGTGTATGTAGGAGTATCATTTACAGAATTCGGAGCTTCAATAGAAACCAAAACTAGCGAGTTTTTGTCGAAGAAAAGCAGTCCATATTCACGATAACCAGTAAATGTTACTTTAGGCGAAGAAAACAAATCTGTTAGTTTCTTGGACACTTTCCTTGTATCCATTACGTTATTTGAAGCCTATAAAAGTGTAAAAAAAGTACAATAAATTAATAGGAAATTAAATTTTTAAGAAATTTTCAAAATTTTGGCGGTTCAAAAAATAAAAATGCGAAAAATACGGAGTGTCACAAATGAATGCGTGACGAAGTGTCAAAACAAAAAATATTAAAATTATTTTAGAAAAAGCACGAAATTGTAGCTAGAGGCCTACAGTAGGAGCAGAGGGAGTTACCATGTTGCGAAACAGTATATCTTGTTTGGCTAGAACACGTGTTGTGGGCAAAAGATTCTTAAATCTTCAGGAATTCCAGAGTAAAGAGATTCTCGAGAAAAATGGATGTACTGTTCAGAAGTTTTTCGTCGTAAGCAACAGTGCAGAAGCTGAACAAAAGTTTCAACAGTATGGTGAGTGAATTTTTGTTGTATTTCAATTAACTTGGATGTTAAAATTGTCTTAATTTTTTGTAGAGTACTCTGAATACGCAGTGAAAGCTCAGGTTCTGGCTGGAGGAAGAGGAAAAGGTCGTTTTATCGGTGGTCCTAAAGATCTCGGAGGTGTTTATATTACTAAAGAGTAAGCATTTTAGTTATCTATTTTGGTTTTTAGGTTTATTTTTATGCTAAACATTGTTGCGGGTATTTCACTTGTGCAAAACTTTGTCACAAGCTTGTGACAACATCGAGTGATCCTCTACAACTATTGTTTTAGTAAATCAGGAGCGATAAAAGCATGCTCAGAGATGATAGGCAAAAAATTGGTAACCGCGCAGACTACAAAAGAAGGTACTCTGGTAAAGAAGGTTATGGTGGCTGATTCTGTACCTATTTGTCGTGAAACCTACTTGGCTTTACTACTGGATCGAGAGTCAAATGCTCCTGTTGTTGTTGCCAGTGCAGCTGGTGGTATGGACATTGAAGAAGTTGCTAAAAAACATCCGGAAAAGATTATAAAGGTATTTTCAATGATTACTGAAGTGTTTTAACGTTTTCTAACTTTAATTTTTTTCCAGAAGGTTTGGGACTGCGTGATAAAAATGATTAAAGTTGGAGAAACAGATCTTTTGGCTGTATTTTTATTAATAAAATAATCTTTAGGTACCGATCAACGTGACAAAAGGAATCCAAAGAGAAGAAAGTCTAAAAGTAGCAGAAGCGTTAGAGTTTAAAGGTGAATTAAAAGAGAAAACTGCTGATGAAATTGAACGTTTGTACAATTTGATGTTGAAAATTGATGCAACACAAATTGAAATCAATCCTTTGGCTGAAACTAGTGATAATAGAGGTAAGTCTTCGTAAAAATTTATTTTTTAATTCTATTTTTAGTATTTTGTATTGATGCAAAATTGAATTTCGACGACAATGCCGAGTTTAGACAGAAGCAAATATTTGAATCTGCTACAGAAGAGGAAGAAACGCAGGTATGTTAATGATAATTGGATTGATTTAGAGCACCGATAATATAGTAATGCTACATGACTATTCTTATGACATTTCTAGCATTATCTAATGATGAGCTATGATATTTTTAGCATTAACTAACGATATAACTGTTCTAGGATCCACGAGAAGTCAGGGCAAAAGCTGCGAACCTGAATTTCATCGCTTTGGATGGAGATATTGCTTGTTTAGTCAACGGAGCCGGGTTAGCTATGGCTACGATGGACATGATCAAGTTGAGTGGCGGAGAACCAGCCAACTTCCTGGATGTTGGAGGCGCTGTCACTGAGAAACAGGTCAGTTATTATTTTTTCGTGTTTTTGTTGTTTTATGTAACGTTTTTCTTTTAAAACTCCTAAGAGAGTACTTAGTATTCTTATCTTTTCTACATTATATACCAATGCAGTATCTTTAACTCTATTTTCCAGGTATACGAAGCCTTCCAAATCTTGACGTCAGGTGAAGGCACACGCGCAATATTAGTGAACATTTTCGGAGGAATTGTAAACTGCCAAACAATCGCAGCCGGAGTCATAGCTGCGGTCAAGAAAGCCGGTCTACAAGTGCCTTTAGTCGTACGTCTAGAAGGTACGAATGCTACAGAAGCTCACAAAATGTTAAAAGACTCGAAACTTCCCATTCAAATCGCACAAAACTTGGACACTGCCGCCAGAATGGCTGTCGAAGCTGCCAATGAAGGATCATTGGAACATGCTTCTGCATGATTCTTGAGGAAAGAGTAAGAATTACTATGGTAAGCATTACTATAGTATGCGTTATCGTCAGGAAATCATTTGTTACTTCATTTTTAGGTAACAGACTATTACTTTTTAAGCAATAATCTGTTATTTGTTTATTAGGATTTGTTATTGTTGAATAAATAAGTCAAAAAACTTATTATCAAGGTGATTACGTTATTATGGATGAGATTCAAGTGAGAGTAAAATGTAATAAGTTAGGGTTAATTTAATTTTGAGGTACCGTAGCCCTTAAAAATTTTACAATATAGTGAGAAAACGTTATAAGAAGATCCAGATGACATTTTTACATATTTCAAGACGACATTATGTACAATAACAATACGAATATTACAGTTAGCAAAGGAGATTACCATAATACGAAAATATTATGTTAGACATGACTTTCCAAAGTTATTCCTCTGGTTTCCCACGAGGTTTGATGTACTTATAAGTGATAACATATCTTTGAGCAACTTCGAATGGTGGAGAATACCCGGAATCGAAAGAATTGTCTTCAAAAACTACTAAATAGTCGTCAGATTCTGAAGCCGGCACCTTTTCCACGACTCCTTTATAGAAACATGTTGTTTGTGGGTACAAAGCCAATACAATGGCATTTATGGGAAAAAGGGCGTGTGCATCTCTGTTCGGATCTGCTCGGTAGATTGGTAGAGGTATCAATCGTTGTCGTCTCATCGCTATCCGTCTACTCCCTTCATCATCAATGTCACGAATGTCATATCTTCCACTGCCGTTAAGAGACTACAATTAGCGTAATTAAGGAAATATTAAGTTATATTAAACTATGCGTAATTAAAAACCCTCGATAACACATATTAAACTATCAAAACTGCTTTCGAATAATGAAAAACATACCATAACTTTGGCCAATATCCAAACATCATCGACAAAGGCCGCGACAATACTTCCCACTGCAATTTCATCTCTATCTCCCCATGGAATAGCTCCAACTCCAGGTGGTGGATGTCCAGTAACCCCACCAATGTACAATGGCAATGTCTTGCTCTGATCATTCAACAACGATATCATCTGTCCTCGAGACATTTTTCCATCCAATATCATGTCAAATTCTATCCGTCTTAACTTCTGAATCTCGTCCAAAACCTTTCTTATAGCATCCGCTTCTCCTTCGCTTTGCTTCAAAGCTGTGTTATACAACACTATCAGTTTGGACTTGGATCCTTGACTCATTTTATTGGCTCCATTACTTAACACACGGTCATTAAAGCCTTTAACTCCACGTAGAGCTTCGTTTACTTTTTCATGCTTGGTTTGGACTCGGTGTAACTAAAGTTTAAAGTAAAATAAGACAAGATACACTTACTCTTTCCAAAATCTTGTCTTTGGCTTCGCCAATCAACTCGTTATATTCTTCTAGATCTTCCTTTTCTGACATTAATCACAATTACTAGTAAAACTAAAGTAAAATCCTTAATTAAAATTTCAATTTTAATAAATTGGATTAAAAAAGACTTTCAAATCCCGAAATTTTACCGAAAAAAAAAAAATTTTTTTGTTATACAAGCGAAATGTCACAAATCATTGGAAAACAGTACGAAGTGTCAACAAGTTTATTAAAAAGTGCAAAACAAATATTTTTAGCAATAAAAGGATGTTTGTTTGACTCTGATCGATTGTTTTGGTGGTGTGACTCATTTGCTGGCTTCTACAGGTGTATCGTTCAAGAATTGGGTGATATCAATGGGTTTTATGTCTCCACCGTCTTCTAATTGGGTCAGTTCAAGTAGTTCCTTATTGGTTTTCTCTGGTTGCTTATCCAAGAACGTCCACAAAGCTAATACTCGTAGGTAATTGGGATGTGCTAGACCGGCTTGAGCTTCTAGAATACACATGGCATCAAAAGCAAAAGGTACTGCTTCTTTCCGTTGTCCTTTTCTAATCAGTTCGGCGCATTTCTCGACCAATTCGTTGACCTTGTTCTTCTCGGTGGCTGGGAAGCAGGCTGAGAACGTTTGTTGAACTTTTGAATATAATGAGGCAATGTTGTCCTGTAATTGGTGTATTACATGATTTTTCTCTCGTATGCGTTTTTGGTTTGCAAAAAGGAAAAAAAACTATATTGCACTAGATGGATATGTAGTTTTATGTGCTATAAGTCTGTTTTTAGGCAACATATCTACACAATCTTTTGGGTTGATGGATAAAACTGTGTTTTTTCTCATTTTTGGTAAAAATTGATTTTAAAATGTGGACATACCCCTAGTTTTCCACTCAACTGAACAATAGCAGTTTCCAATCGGTTCAAATAGACGTTCTTTTCATGTAAAATAGGTCTAGCTCGTTCCAAATGGCCTTTTAGTTCGTCTACTTTGTCTTCAGTCGAATATCTTACAGGCAACTCAAGCATGGTTTGTTGGCCGCGAATCACATACTCTATGTCTGCTACAGTGTTACATTTCTTACATTTTACTGCTTTTGGTTCCATGTCTTCGCTGATAAGTACTGCGCCATCACATAGGATGTTTTTGCATCGTAATGCAGTTAAAATGTCGTCTTCTGGGTCTTCACAGCGTTCACAGTGGCATTCAAAGAACCTATATTATAGTAAATTAGATGGTGATTAGAGCTTTGTTATTTGATAACGATAATTATGTTTTATGATAAGGAAAGCATTTGAGAGCACTTGAATTATTTTTACAGGATAAAATACTTTAAAAAAGTCACTTAACATTGTTATAACAGGTAAAATCTTACCATTTTTCTTGTAATTCTCGTCTCCTTTGATATCTCGATCTTCCTACATCAGTATAGCTGATAGTAGCCGTCTTAGGATCTTCAGTGTTGATATCAGATGTTAGTGGTCGTAAGAACACGTAGTATCCATCAAACATGATTGAGCAGTTTGGCCGACAAGAATGATTATATTGTGATACACCTAGATCTAACAGAATCCCAACTTCAATGCCTTTCATTGATTGTACGGTAAGAGAGTTTACCATGGATTTGCAGTAGATGTCGAAGAAAATGTCGCCGTTTAGAGCTTCGTCTCTGAAGGTTTGGATCTTCTGGAATATTTTCTTGAACTTCTCCATGCGTTCCTTGTCTTTTCTAACATCATTTTCGTGACCAATCAGTCTGTAATTTTAATATTTTTGTTTTATAAGTAAAAAATTTACTTACGAGCTCAATGGTCTAGCCATCTCATAACCATATTTGTCACCATTCTTCTCGATTAACTCCTTTCTGTCCAATACCTTACTCAAGAACAACACATCACTCAGCGGCAGGTTAGGGAACGACTTCTGGAGCCGTTTACACTCCATTTTGTGCAATCTCCACCCCATCTTCTGACATTCCTTACTACAGTACTTGACGAAATTGCATCCAGTACATTGGAATAGCTTGCCTTGTAGCTCCGGCTCCTTCAGACATTCCGAACAGAATTCGTCGGCTTTGTTGTTGAACAAGTGATGAGCGTAGGGCCGGCGGAACACCTTGATTTTCTCTCCTGTAGTCTGTACTACTGTGGGCTGGGGTTTCCGCTTCTCTACGGCATCTTTGGGCGGCGCTGGAGGCTCGTCAGGAAGCTCCTTGATCTCGACCATTTCTTGCGACAAGACAAAGTATTTTTAGGCTTTCGGGCCTCTCGAAAGCTCGATCGAATGTCCGAGATCTGGCCAGAAAACAGTTATCTCAAAGAGAAGAGTGGGACGAAGTGAGAGGAGAGATAGAGAGGGAAGATGTGAGAAGAAGGAGGGGATTTATGAGAGGAAGGTGGGATAGATATACATACATAAAGAAGGATAAAGGACATTGCTTTAGGTCCGCAGCTGGATTTTCGAATATCCGAGGAGAGATGGGTTGATGTTACAGTAAAGTTTGGAGAAGAATGTAGGGAAATGAGGAAAAAATTGTTAATATATGAGCGCTTTTACTATAACGTCGTTTAAAAAATTCTGTGCTTCCTCATAAAGCAAAATTTTGGGGTTAGGATACTCAGAATTATTTGAGCGACCAAATACCACTAAAAACTGGCTTAAAATTTTTAATTTTGCCATGTTCAGTCAAGATTTGTGACATTTTCTGTTTACTATAACAAGTTAAATGTCTCTTATCTAATTGGCATCTTCGAAAAATGCAATTTCTGATCAGAAACTTGTGAATTGTAAACAATTTCATCATATAAAAAGGAAATAATAAATAGAACACACCCACAAAGGAATCATAAGTGAGTCACACAAGTACTGATAAAGGTCCTTTAGGGGTTTTAAAGGAACAACTCTTTGTTATTTCAAATCAAAAATCATGGGTGAAGTGAGGAATGTGGTAAGTTATTTTTGGGACTTTTGGTACAGTTTTGTGAAAAAATTGTGACTTTGATATGTGATATTGAACTTTTAAAATTTGTGTTTTTGGGCTAGTTGGCCTAAAGAGTAACCTAAAATTTTAAAAAATTAAAATTTTTAGCTATAAGTAATAATGTTTTAGTCAGTGCCATACGCCCAAAACATTAACAATGGTCTACCATCGCATGCCACAATCGAAGTCGAAGGTGATGTTATTGTAGGTCACGAGAAAGCGATCTGGCTGGAGTTTAGAGGTCAAGGAAATGAGATTCCTCTTCATATTAACATTCGTTTTGGCTCTGTCAATGGAAGTAACGAAATTTGTGTCAATTCTTTTGACCGTGATTGGGGCCGTGAAGACTTTTACAAGCAAAGTGTCACTATTGGAGGGTCTATTTACGCCAAGATTGTCATTAGGGACGATAGATATGAGGTTGGTTCATGTTTTTGGAAGGATTTTTCAAATAATTTGTGCTCCCTTTCAAAGCGAGTTTTTTGTTTAGGGGGCACTAAATTATTTGAACTGCCTAGTATATTAATGAAAAGTTGAATCCTATGATCAACAATATATCATTCCAGGTCGATATAAACGGCAGAGAATTCGTCTTCAAGCACCGTACTCCCAAGTACAATGTGACTCGTTTTGAAGTTCGTGGTGACATTCGAGTAGCTCGCATCAACTACACTGGATTTGGCGATCATATCTACACTGCTGGTCAATATCCATCACCATACCCACAGCCAAGTCAGCCATCGTATCCGCCCAACCCTTACCCGAACCCAGGATATCCTGAAAGTAGGCCATTCCATGATTCTAGGCCAGTCTTTCCAGATTTGAAGCCAGTCTTTCCGGACTTAAGGCCAGTGTTTCCAGATCTGAGACCAGTCTTCCCTGATTTGAGACCCGTTTTTCCAGATATAAGGCCGGTCTTTCCAGATTTAAAGCCAGTCTTTCCTGATTCTAGGCTAGTTTATCCAGATTTACGACCAGGCTTTCCAGATTCAAGACCAGGCTTTCCAGATAACCGGCCGAACTACCCAAATCCAAGTTACCCGGATCCAATGAGACCTTATCCTTCAGATCCTGGCTACCAACCTCCCTACAATCCAGACCACCGAGGAGATGTACCAATTGGACAAGGAGCTCAAATTGGTCAGAACATTAACCAAGGTTACGATCCGTTTAGGCCACACGACTCAAGAGGCTACAATTAAAATTCTGTAAATTTGTAAACTTATTTTTTAAAATTGTTGTCTACTACAACATGTTACTTAAGAAAAATCATTTTAATTTTGTTGTACTTGTAATAAATTGATATTGTAAAAAAGTTTAGCTTACAATATTAAACTTTATATAAGCTGCTATATATAACATATTATATAAAGTTTGGGGGCTCAAAACTTTTTACACAACTTAACATTATAATATCATAGCAATGTCAATATAAAGCTGGTGAAATCCCGTTTATTTCCTCTATAAATTTACAATTTTAATAAACGATGGCCAGGACGAACAAAAGGAAAGCCAAGGCAAAGGCGGAGACCTTCAATCCGACCGCGTCGTTACAGCCATTACCGTCGCACAAGCAGGTTCGCGTCTTCACCATGCCCAAGTTGACGTTCTCCAGGTTCTCTTCAATACATTGGCCTGGGGCTGGCTGAAATTTTTTAAATTTTATATTTGAATAGACTAAATTGAACAATTTTGACGCTCTCCGAGTTCTCTAGGCCCAGCCCGGAAGCCAGGTGTAGGGGTGGAGCCTTAAACGATTTTAAAATTTTTTGGGGGTAGAGCTAATTTTACAATATCTTTTAAAGTTTTTGGTCAATGTGATATACTATGTATAAGATTTTTTAAAATTTTTGCTATAAAATTATTACTGTAAAACTTACGATACGAAGGTTTGGGCTTCTGCCAGTTAGCTGTTGAGCTACATCAGTTAAGCAGCCCCTGATGACAACTCGGGTAACTGAAAAGTATAAAATTTTATTGGAAATACATAGTCATAAAACAGACTACGGTATCTTAGGTACTCTTTCTGCTTCTTTTTTGTACTGCCGGCCTTTTTGTAACCACCCCCTTACAATGATATAAAAGTAACAGTACAATAAATTTTTGACACCTTATGTTAAGTACTACTTACACTGATTCTCGGACACACTCTTGACACAACTCGTCATACAAGGCTGCATCTGCTTCCCAACCGTCGAGAAGGGATCGTCACACACATCCACCGGCACATTCGACCCATGCCCGTTCTGCTCGAACATGGCTCTCGACTGGTCGGACAATGTGCCCGACAAACATGAATAACATTGAATCGGCCGCATCTGATTCTGTTGCTGAACCCGCGGGCCTTGCGCGGCTACGGTGGCTACGAGCACGATGAGAAACAACATTTAATTAGAGGAGCAGTTAACGTAACTGGCGGAACGAAAAGGTATCAAAGAGACAAGAACAAGGTAAACAAACAATGCCGGAGATTAGAGGAACAATACAACATGTCAAGAGTGTTTGCCTTCGGATCGGACCCCCTATATACCCGTTGGCCCTAATTTTGGGCCAGCAAAGTTTTGTAAACCTAAAGGTATACAAAGGGTTCCGAACGTTTTGACAAAGTCGCTATGAAATTTTCGTCGAAACTGCGCAAAAGCATAAGGTAAACATGGGGATTACGGTAGGTTGCGGAAGGAAGAACTTGGAAATGATTTGAAGTCTCGTAGCATAAGGCTCAAAATGCAAAAAATTTTAAAAAATCAAAAAAAAAATTTAAAATTTAAAAAAGTCACGTAAAACAAAAATTAGCATAACTTCAAAAACGTGAAGATTAAAAAAGAATCATTTTAAAAATTTTGTTATTTTTCAAATTGGTCACCTTCCAGTGTGACGTCTTTACGATATCCAGAAGTCAGTCTCAAGATAATCGTTGAGACAACTTCAAGGAATGGCCGAGTCTCATGGAGTAGGTTTTGTGTGGTTATCTTGGGTTATTTGACCTCTTAATCCGTTAGGCGTATTTTTTAAATTTTTTAAGTTTATTTTGACTTTTTTAGGTTTATTTATGTATTTTTCGTTTTTAGGCTTACGTTTGGTATCTAAACCTTATTTTTAAATGTTTTTTAGGTTTATATCGGCTGTTTGAGGCTTACTTTTAGTTTTTTAAGCTTTTTTAAGTTTTATAACCTTTAAGCTTATCTATTATCTATAATTTAAGGCTTATTTTCCGGCTTTTATGTTAATTTTCAGGTTTTTAATGTTTTTTTTGGCTTTTTTTAATTTTACTTTTAAAATTTCCAGAAAAAGAAAAAGAGAGCTGCCTCGCCAAAAGAACCATCTCCCCGTCCAGCGTTGACACCAAAAGAACGGCACGTCGATGTGTACCATGAGGACCAGAAAGTCAAGGCGGAACCTGTACAAGCTCCACGTCTGAAACTGCCGTTCAGGCCAGGCCAACCAATCCCATGGACTCCGAAGCCACGCAAAACACAACTGGAAACGAATGAACAGAAGGTAAGTGGTAACTATAATACTTTTTTAGACATTTTTTCTTATTTTGACTTTGTATTTGACAATATATAATACTAACAATCATATTCCAGGCTATTCGTGACGGCAAGCTCCGCTGTGTCCACATGTGGCCAACTGAAGCCCACAAGCACGCTTTGCAACACCGTCCGAAGCCGTGGGTACGTGATCCTGTGATGAACATCCTCCACATTGACTTTTACGTTGGTAGAGTACCATTGTGGTACATTGAGACCAAGTTACTCAAGGTACCGGGTGACTTTATCTTGTCACGAGCTCACGATAACACTCCCAGAATCTCGGTTATGACCCACGAACGTGATCACGCCGTAGCCACGTTCACCATCGCGTTTGAGCAGTCGCAAAACAAATCTGACAGAAACTTCTACTACAAATTCGTTGGGACTAATACTCACAGTAACTCGATCTGGGGCCTTGTGTTACAGTATCGAGAGAATCCGGTAGGTTTTTTAGTTCTAGAGTAAGGTTGGGTAAAGTAGAGTTGAGTAGAATACGGTAGGCCTACCGCGGTAGGGTAGGGCAGAGTAGGGCGGGTAGGGTAAGGTAGGGTATTTTGAAATATACTGTACTTTTAACTTTTTTGTTCCAGAAGCTTCTAGAAGAAGAAACACGGAGAAAAGCGTCGTTACTGTACCCAGTTATTCCGTGTCAGAGCTGTATGTACGTTGACTATGAGTACTATTTTGCTCCGATGCACATTAGACACTTTGCGGACTTGGTACCAGGAGCTCCAATCAGGGTTGGGAGGGATGGTAAGGTAATTTATCTTCATTTTTGCAAAACGAAGACATCTTTTGTCTTAAAAATATACCTAAAATACGAAAACTCAAAATATTCTAAAAATACAAAACATTTTGCGGTATTTTAGGTTCTGAAAGGCACTCGTACCCTGCATCAAGACTGGTTGTCCCCGCCCCAAACTGCTGTTCATAACGCCATCATCAAGGAGTTTGAAGAATATTCGGCCGAGATTCTGGACAAGATCTTCCACGAACTTCACATCGTTCAGATCATTCGACACACCATCGGATGGGATACTGTAGTCAATGTAGGCGGTGTGTACGTGTTCAAAAAGCCGTACAGTATTGTGTACACGGAATGCGATGGGGGATCGTTGCTGGATTACTTCAAGCAGAAGGAACATTCGGAAAAGGACAAAGTTGCGGTAGGGTGAAATTTTGATTTTTTTTTAAATTTTGAAAAAGCAGAATTTTTTAAATTTAAAATTTTTGGAACATCAAAATTTTAATTTTAAAAATATTTTTAGATCCTCTTGGACCTGGCAACGACTTTAGCCCACATTCATCAACATCGTATCTTGCATGGTGATATCCAAGCACGAAATGTGTTTGTTGACACTGCTGGCCCTTACTACAAGTATGGAGGTATGCACTATTGTGTCAGAGTATTGCCGAAGGATGGTCCTGTGTAGGTTATCTAAAATCGTTTTTTTTTTACCTAAAATGGTTTTTGTTACTTAAAATAGTCATTTTTACCTATAATAGTGGTTTTGTTACCTAAAATGGTCTTCTTGTAATCTGGGATTGTACTTTTGATACCTACAAGGTCTTTTGTTACCTAAAATTGTATTTTTGACACCTAAAACGACATGAATTTAAGCACCTATTAATTAAACTTTCAGGATGTCAAGAATCCACAAAGAATTTCCACATTCTCCACGACACACGGCTCCAGAAGTCGCTACAACCGGAATTTTGAACGAAAAAACTGAAGTCAGTTTAGGTTTTGGTCAATAAATTTGGAACACCGATTGATTATTGTTTTGCAATTGCCTAAAATAAGCTTTTCATTTCCATTTTCAGGTATACTCATTCGGAATGTTGATGTACGAAGTGATGACGGGTGAGAAGCCACTCAAACATTTGTCTGATGATGAATATTGGAAAAAGATCAAGGAGGACAACAACATGAGACCGGGTAGGACAAATTGATGCTTTGACCAAAAATATTTGAATTTTAACGTTTAGGCTTAGAAATTATATCATAATGTAAAACCAGATCAACCAATACCTTCCAGGCTTCTTATTTTAACAATACGTTTACTTTTAGTGATCATGAACTTGTCGCCCGCCATCAAGAAGATCATTGACGATTGTTGGAGTACTCACGTGGAAAAACGACCTAAAATGGACGACGTGTGTCAAGCCTTGTACAACATCAAGGAGAAGGAGGATACCATCAATACCACACAGGAAAACAGCAAAGAACAAAAACATACTGAGACTCATTGATCCATTGATTGTTACCTAAATGAACGGCCGATTCATCCATTTTTTCTTGTTTTTTGGTTAGGTATTGTGTTATATCACATGTTATGATATTGGTTATTGATAACAGTACAAAAAGTGTTGTTTTAGAAACCAATTAGTTTTCCAAAGCTTTTGATTTCATTAAAAGTGTACATTCATGTTTGATTCATTCCCAACATGACTGACATACGACTACAAACTACAAAACATACCATGACGCAATCTGGAAAAGTAATGTCGAATAAAGGAGGTTGTGTTATGTTCTGACAACACCTTTCGTCGTTATAACCGGTCCCCAGTGAGCTTATAAAAGGCGGCTACGAAATGCGTTTTAAGTTTAAAGCTTTATGTTATAGTAGCTGTGAAGGAGCCTTCTTATCAGCTTTTAAGTTGTATATCTTTGCTTTAAAAGTTCAAGTTGTTAAAAAAATGACTCGTACGAACCTTAAAGTCTATTTTTCTTAAAAATTTTTAAAAAAGTCAGCGCAAAGTTTGAAGGCTTCGTTTTGGCGCCAACTTATCTGATCTTGGCGTTTCGTCGATAGGAAAATCATTTTTTTTTATTGTTCCTCCCTTTTTTTTGGAAGCGTTCAGAATGTTCTAATACTTCTGAACAAGGTCGTTGCTCCCTTTTTTGTTTGTTCTCTTTATTTCTCTGTAGTTGGGCGTTGTTCGTATTGTGTTAGTCTAATTAACTCGAATTATTGCTCACATTCTCACGAAAAACCGAAAGACACAATCTTATTTTAGACTTTCGAACTTTTGTTTACCCTTTACACTGTTTTTGTATTGGTTTAGGTAAATGATATTTGGTAAATTGTCGAAAACAATCTTTGAAAATCGTAGTTTTTAGCGCGTCAAAAAGAATTGAAGGTTTTTCCTTATAATTTCGTAACAAATCGTCCAATTCTTTTTGACGCGGTTATATGCTTTTGAAGAACTTGTATTTTGGCGCATTTTTTCGGATTTTAAAACGGTTTCAAAAGGAATAAAGTTCAAAGAGCTCTCCTTATTCTTTATCATCGTTTTCTTCGTCTAGGCAGTTAGTTTTTCAGCTCAAAATAGACATGAGCAACGGGCCGGGCCTGAAATCTAGGCCCGGCCCGCGGGCCGGGCTTGAAAATTGGGCCCGGGCTTGAAAAAAAAATTTTAAATTTTTTAAAATTTTTTATTTCAATTCCCGTTTATGTTTTTCGATTTTATTGGATTCTATGATCCATAAATGACCTAAAAAAACAATTTAAAGCCAAATTTCCGTTTAGTTTTTAAGTTTTAAAATTTTTAAAATTTTTTAAAACGGGCCGGGCCGGGCCTAGAATTTTTCTGATCGGGCCGGGCTTGAAAATTGGGCCCGGCCCGTTGCTCATGTCTAGCTCAAAAGGGTATTTTTTCGATGTTTATATACGAAAGCAAGCCAAAAATTAGTTTTGACGATAACTTTTTTTTGAAAATAGCTGGAGACGGGAATTTTTTAGTTTTTTTGATTTAGCAATTATCTGTTAAAAAATATTTTTAACACTTGTTGAAAATTTTAAATTTTGCGGTTAAATAAGTTCACTGTTTTATAACTAAAACATTATTTCGGGTTGAAGCTCAAACTTTGATTTTGTTCCCAATCTCTACACAAAACAATATTTTTACTTATTTTTTAGCTAAAAGTATTGTTTGGTCATTCCCCAACTTTTTCGCACCAACTGTCTACTATAATATCGGGGTGTTTTTTGTCCACTTCTTTTGTTTTTAGCCGGTTTATCAGTGTCGCGAGAATGTTTTCTTTACTTCGTTATTCAAGATCCCTCGTTCCCAACAAAGTTCATTTTCATTTCTCAGCGAACAGAATGGCCGATCTATTGAAGGGAGTTCAAATCGTCTTGCCCGACGGCAGCAAAGTCAATGGTGAGGAGCATTTGAAGGGAAAGGTTGTGGCTTTGTACTTCTCGGCTGGATGGTGCCCACCGTGCCGTGCTTTCACACCAAAATTGAAGGTAAGTTGTTGGAAATTCGATTTTTGGTTATTTTAGGTCGATGTTGAGCTGTTTAGTGGTTTTTGGAAGTTTACCGGAAACAACGATTTTTTTTATTTTTATACTTTTTCCATTCTATGGGCTACTTTAATATCATTTTAACTTTCAGGCCTTCTACGAGAAGCTCCAAGAGGAAGGAAAGAACTTTGAAGTTGTCTGGGTATCTCGTGACCGTGCTGAAGATGATCTCCTCGAGTACTACCGTGATCATCACGCTAAGTGGACTTACTTGCCATTCGGAGACCCACATATCCAGTAAGTTTGTTTTGATGGTTTTTGTTATTTTAGGAGGTGAAATATAGTATTATCATGTGTAGTAGGTACAATATGATCCTTGAGTTAAATAAAACAAAATGGTAGAACCTATATCTTTCGTAGTCAAAGGAAATAGCTCAGTAAAATCATATTATACTTGCAAGCAAAATAGTATTTTATAAAGTATTGGTCTAATTTTAAAATTTCAGGGAATTCCTCCAAAAGTTCGAGGTCAAGACCATCCCAGCCCTGAAGGTGATCAAGCCTGATGGTGCCGTCGTCGTCCAAGATGCGCGTACCGAGGTCGCCCAAAAGGGACAAGATGCCGTGGCTTTGTTGGAAGAATGGCAAGCTTTCCTTTAAATCCTGTACTCTTCATTAATCTATTCTCTAATTTCAATAAATTTTGAGGTTGTGTAACTTGGTTTTGGTATGAAGTTGAAGTTTTACCTAATCGAAGCTCTATGTGTACCATAATGCATATTGGCCAACTTTGAAAGCCCTCAGAGTTTTAATTTGAGTGGATATAAACTTGAAAATTGACATTATCCCACATATTGAAGTACAGTCAGTTTATAAGTTAGTGAAATGTACAGTAGCTAAATCTAAAGTGATGTTATGCAGAAAGTTGATAGGAAAACCGAGTTGTTATTCGTTGAGATACCGGGAGAAGATGTCTTTGTGTTCGTCGCTTTCAAATCGCGGAATGAAATTGCAGGCAACCACCTTTTCAAAGCCTTCTGAAGTCGTTGGTTCCTAAAGAATCACAATTTTTTATTACTCACGATAGGAAAAATTAGTGTTATTCTAAGTAAGCCATCGTTCATACTACACAACATTAGCTAAATATCATATTACTTTTCACATTACATTATGGCACGGTAACTATAAAGTATCCTACCTGATAACCGTTGAAGTATTGTTTCAAGACGAAGCTGTTGACAGATTTGTGAGCATTGTCAGTACCTACTACAGTACGAAACGTATTCAAGTGAGCAGCTTGAGCGTAATCGACATTCATTTTGATGCAAAATATTGGCACTTCCAACTTTTTTGCCAAATCAATGTAACTCTTTCTGTAAAAAATTTACATCGGTATGTCATAGCTAAATCACAAATATAAATTCGACAAGAGGTGCTATATTAATATAGAAAAAGATGCTACATTAATATATAGACTCTTTAGTATTCACAAGAAGTCTATGTAAAACCTCGTGTACTGTTTGTACTGTTTAGCACCTACTATTATAAAAGTTACCTAGTCATTTTGTCTCTGTTAGTATTGTCTACGATGACTTTTTCGCCTTCTTCTATTAGTTCAGCACACTTTTTGAGGCATTTTTCTTTGGTACCCAGTGTGTCCTGATTCACTACTGAAAATCCATATTCATCTTGAAGCCATTTGCTCAAATGACTCTTTCCAGAAGCCGGAGAGCCGACCAGTACAATCATTTGAGTCATCTGATTGTTGAAGGCCATTTCTGTAATTTTTTTTGTAATCAAGTTTTAAATTATACAAAATTTTATCATTTTAGATTTTTTAAACCCGAGATACTGTAACTTTTCCAACCTTCGTTTTCCCCAAAAAAATCTGGAAAATACTGCCCATGATGATAGTGGAAAATACCCATGATAATACCAAAAAGTACTTACCAGGCTCAAACTGTGGCTTGTTCTGCTCCAAGAACTGTGTCGGATCAAATTGAGGCATTTTGTAGGGTTCTTCTTCTGGCTGATCGAGGAAAAACTGTTCCGGAGTTTCGAATTTGACTCCCAGGTTTAAAGCAAACAAACGATCGGCCGATGAATGATCCGCCTTTGGCCGTTTCTGAAATTTCATAATTAAAACAACAAACACATTTTCAATTATAAACTAAAAATAAGTGGAAATTAAGTCACGTATTTTACAATAACACTATTATGTTTTTCAAAAGACGTATAACATCTGTGCAAATAAGTATCATAATGTTGTTTTGCAAGAAAATTTAGAATTTGTTTGCCCAGAATAGAAGCAGCAACAAGGTTATTGATCAACTATTATAAATAAACATAAAAAATATAATAAAAATTACTGTAGTAATTACTGTAGACAATTTTAAACTTTAAAACCCATTTTTAAACTCCAAGCCCAAAAACTAATCATCCAACAACTTACAGAAGTTTTAGTTCGTCCAGCAGCGTCTCCAACATAAATCGACTGTTCTCTGTCTACCTTAACATCACCATTACCCTCAGTCTCCAGGAATTCCCACATTGCAATTGAAGGCTTTCTGTACTTGCTAGCTCCAGGAGAAACAAAAACATGAATTGGTACTCCGATCGCGCTACAAATCTTCAGAATCTTCTTCTTCAACTGGTTTGGGTCAACCTTTTTGGTCTAAAACAACGTCGTCTAATATGTTAAGTGCTTTTCAGTTTAAGTTATCAGTAATATAGAGCACTAGCAGTAATTTAGAGTACTACAACTAATATTAACTATTATGACATAGCCAAATCCAGTTAACAGAAACTCTGCTTTTTAAAACATCTTGTTATAGAAAAAATACCTAAAATCCCAAAAAATAAGATAAAAACTTACAGAAAGACCTTTTTGATTCGTAAAAATGCAGATTTTGTAACCTTCATTGTAGAGTTTTTTTTAATCTTTCTGCTTACTTTATGGTCCCACAACTGCCAGTCTTCGAAATTCCTCGCAAACACATTACCCGACTTTGTTTTGATTAATGTTCCATCTAAAAACCTTCGAATATACGAACAAACATCTAATAATAATATAATATATGCCCACGCAAATCATATATTCGAGTATACGAACTAATATAAACATATAATAATAATATAATATATGACCACGTCTATCATACATGATTGTTAAAGAACCTACCCATGTCAAAACCAGCAATCTTCTCCCGATGCTCAATGTCATCTGGAGTGAAGAACATCAATTCCTGATGCAGACTAGTCCAGCTGCCTGCAATTTGAGGTTTTCCAAAGATTGGGGCCAGCCCATTTGTTTTTGGTATTTTCTTTGGTGGGGAATCGGATTCACTCATACTAAAACCTATTATAATGAACCAAATAATTAAAATACGCATTGACATAGCATTTATTTAGAAGTGCAGAAAATTTCAAATAGGCATCAATTCTGAGAAGAAAGTTATCACAAAAACAATCTAACATATTTTTAACCTCTACTACTTCCAAGCGCCCAAAAAGAATTGAACAAGCAGTATCCTAATATTGTGTATATTTTTCTACAGCGTATACTTACAAAATAAATTTTAAAATCTTTATTAACAACAAATAGAAAACAGAAAATAATTACAACAAATATTATCTTACAAATTCAAAAGAATACCCGATAACTATATCAACTTCTGCCCGTTTTCAGCCTGAGTTCGCTGAGTTTTCAAACAACGCAAGACTGTAGCCTTAGATGTGCCAAGCAACTCTGCTAATTGACCAGCAGAAAGCGTTGGATTTTGTTTGGCCGCTATGAGAATGGCTTCTTTATTAATGGTTAACGGTCTTCCAGGTATTGCGTGGGCCTCAAGGCTAGTATCTCCATCGTTAAACTTTTCAAACCAGTTGTGTGCAGTGCTCTTGGTCACAGCATCGTCACCTTCAACATCACATATTGCCTTAGCTGCTTTTTCGGCCGAAAAGCCTTGTTTCCAATAATGAAGCAGCAATGCTCGGATGTAGATGCTGATCATCTGGAGAACTCTAATATGAAGAATTATAAAAAAGATGTAAACTCACTCTTTGGCAGTCAATTCTCACAGTAGAAACAATTCAAAAATACGAAAGAATAGAGCAAGGATTATGCAAAAATGCGGCCAATTTATACGACAAAGAATGTCCAATTCTTTTTGACGCGCCTTAATGAAAAATAACATAAAATAAATAAGTAATGGCTTATAAAAATTAAAACTTCTTACTAAAAGTGTAGAAAAAAACGTAGTATATCAGAAAACAAAGTCAGTAAAAAATACATTAAAATTTTCAAATATTATACTGGACATCCAGTTAAAAAACGCACAAACCCAAAATTTTAAAAACCAACAAATTTATTAAACTATGAACAATAACAATGTGCTGGCAATAAAATCCTATTTCTTGCTTCTAATTTGAGCTCGCTTTCCTTGTCCTATAACTGGATGTACAACTTTTCCTCTTAAGATCTTCAACTCGTTCTGAACTTGTCTCCAAACAACGTGCTCATCGAAGAACAATCCATGGAATCGGAGCATTTTGGATAAGTAATGGAACATAGGCAGATTTGGAAAATATTCAGTGTTCTTTTCTGGATGTTGCTCACGAGGTTCGGCCGCCATCACACGCACAACCTTGCGTGAACGTGCGTCTGTCGGACGGACTACCTAAAACAACATATTTCATAAACTTTTGAACCGAAAAAATGTATATTAAAAAGATAATAGATGTATAAATAACTATTTAACACTTCGACATCAATTACTTGTTGAAACTTGCCTTATAAACCTAAAAACAAAAGAAGATAACTAAAACCCTTACTTCATTAAAAATCCGGTTTGACAGTCGATCCATTCGTTTTCCATAAGCTGTTGGTTGACTTAGCCCTCTAGCTGCATGATTTATATGTGATGCCCATACTTTGCCCGACATCTTGGTCGAACAAACAAAAAAATAAAATTTCGACAAAATTTTGCCAAATATTTTATTTTTTCGACACTTCGCTTCTTCTAAATTTGTGGCGTTTCGTCTTCAATTATTTTCGGAAAAATATTTACAGATCTAGCTAGATCTTTATCGCGATATTATCGAAAAATATCGTGTAAAGTATACTTGTACATAGTGTATATAATGTCGACGTCTGAAGCTGACAAGAATGAAGGAACTCAACAAAAGAATGGCATTGCAAATGCCAAATCTCCTCCAGCTTTTATGTCCGAAGAGGAAATTATCGCTGCCATGCCTGAAAACTTCAAATGTCTATCACTATGGCCTCCTAATGTAAGTTTTGATTTTAAAATAGTTATATTTTTAGCCGGGAGAGATCTTTGATGATGAACTGTCGAAATTGGAAGAAGAAGATTCATCGCCATATTGGTGTCAGATGTATTATTATCAGTTTGATTACAAGGTTAGTTTGTTGTTTGATGGTTTATTGTTGACAATAAAAGCTGTAGCATTTTATTAAGGGTGTTTTGACAATTTTTTGGGGTTTTCTATGCATAATTTTTTGATTTATAGCTAAGTTCGTATCGTGCATACAACAGCGAAATAAGTATTGATGGGCTGTGCACTCCAGCAAATGCTTCTCGTTTTTCTTTGGGAATTAACGGTTGTGTGGCTGGAAATGAGGTTGCCGAAAAGGCCAGGATGCAAATTGGTGAGTTGATTACTATTTAAAGCTGTTTTTAGTGTTATATTTAACATCATACATCGTTTTAAACATTTTTTTTTGTTGAAAATTTCTAGAAAAAGAGCCAGGTATTGGTTTTTTGTAATGTGTTTTATTTGCTATAAGGTAAAATGAAATGTATTTTAAACGCTTTAAATTGTTTGGAAAGATAATACTTTTACTTTTAAAGGCGATGGTTGTCGATTGACACGAAGAGGGCCAGAGGTGTATCTACAGTGTTTGACAGACTCACCTGTGTTTTTGCAATGTCCGTTATATGCTATTTCGACTGGGGATGATCAAGCTACTGTGTATCGATTAACCCAACGTAAGTTGATATGGATATTACACATTTTTAATAATTTGGCTTGTTATATCCTTTTCATTGTATATTTTTTAGCTCAAGTGATACAAATTTTTAACGACACAAGATTTGAAGAGCTTTTGGACATCTACATCAAGAATAACTCGAATTATAAACAGTTGAGGGACCTGCAGGTTAGTGTAATATACTTCGTTTCTAAGTTACCTATACATAAAATTACACATATGTAGTTTTAAAGATAGTTTTAAGAAAAATGTATTATTTTAACGTATCTATAGAAGTTTTGCTATTAGAAGTAGCTTAGTTCCTTTTATTTTGAATTTATGTGCAAATTACCTTAATATACTATGCGATACCACTAAGAAAACACTTGTAGAACATGTGCCATGTCAGGATTAGCTTTGTTAAAGGTTGGGGAAGCGCGTATCGCCGTCGTACCATAATTACCACACCATGCTGGGTCGAGCTGTATATGGTACATCCACTAGAGAGACTAGATGAATGTATGAGAGCTTGTGATGATTGGAATCGCAATCCGATCGATGAGTATAGTAACGAAATTGATGAAGGGTTAAATTTGGAGGGTCTAAGTGATGAAGAGAAGGAAATGGAAGCTCAGAACCAAAATAATGTTGAGATAGCTGATCCAGCGCATGACAAAGATGAAGAAGATATTGAGGAGATCGAGTAGATGATTTTTAGTGGGTTTTAAGGGGATTTATATATTTTTTGGCAGTTATATTGTGGATTTAGGGCAACATTTGCTGTTTTTAGCTTTTGTATCTTAGATAATGTATATAAGTGATAGGATCTCAATCTAACTATTATATTGTTTGTTATAGCAACGAAGAGAATGTATATAATAAAATAAATAAAGAAATATTATTTTAGATTTGCTAAATTGTGAAGGTAGACATGTTATACTAGATCATAACATCTATTTTTATTATTAAATTTTGGATAACATCTACCACAATATATTGCTATCAATATTCACAAAATTGCAATCAATACTCACAAAAAGACTAATTGTCGCTGCTATTTAATACCCTATGCATTGTTCGTCTGACATTTTGAACAATGTCCTTTTGGAAACATTCGACTTTTTGGTTTCATTAAAATTTCCAAAATTAGTTAGTTTTGGCCTAATTAGTTGCCTTTCCGAAGGGCTTTGTCGGCCCAATTTTGGTTGTTTTCGAATGAGCACTACTGTTGGTTTCTTGTGGTTACTAATGCGACTTCAAGTGGGCTTGTTTTGGGTAAATAAGCTAATATTGTAGTAGATATTTTTTGTCAAATTGTTTGAAATTTGGTTTTTTGCTTTCGACAGATACTATAAGGGTGGTTTTGTACTGTTTTGTCTATAAAATGGCATTTTTATTAGGATTTGTGTTTTATAACTATTATTTTTGGTTTTAAAATATCAAAAAAGTAATTTTTCTGACATTTATAGTAGGTTGTTCAAAAATTCTGCGCTCTATCACAAAGCAAATTTTTGCGGTTAGGGGGTACAGAATTATTTGAAAAACCTAACACTTGTTTTTAAAAAAATTCTTTTGAGTTTTCAAGGGCTTGCACCGTGCAAAAAATATAAGAAGTACAGTAAGACCCCTATTGGTAGTATGATCCTGGATAGAGTGACACCCTGGTTATAATGGCACTTTGGTCCAGTCTCCTGAGTATCATAATGAAGAGGGTTGACTGTAATTTAAAAATATGTTTTTTTATTTTAAAAATATTTTTACCATTCCTTATGTTGCCCTTTACCCATACTGCAGCAATCTAATCCGAGTAACCTCAAGAATTTGTTTTTCGAGCAGTTGGTTGGCTGTTTTGAATTCCTCAATTTTACAAATTTGCTTGTCTCGTGATTACTTGTTTAAGGCCAGGTGGCCACGGCTGAAAACGACACAAAAATAATTCGTTCGGGGTTAGTCAAAACACCTGGGACACAAAAAGGAAGGGGAAAAAAGAGGCAGAAGGATTGGAAATGGCAGGAAAGAAAGGGTAATAAGCAATGGCTGGGGGGGGTAAAAATTAATAGTAATATGCACTGGCTAGGAGTGGTAAAAAGGGAGTAATAGGCAAAGGCTGGGAAGAGGTAGAATCTAACAGTAATAAGGAAGGGAGGGCAAGGTAAATTTTACACAATTTTTTAAAATTGAAAAAAAATTTTTTTTAAGTAAATTAAAAAATTTTGAGCTGAAATTCTGAATTAATGACGTCCAGAAGTTATATATATATACTGGACGTATAGTACATTTTTTTGGTGTAAGCAATTGAGATTCTCTATTTTTGTTAGCTTTACAATTTTTAAAAATTTTGAAACAATTTTCAAATTTCAATTTTAATATCTATTTAGTACATTTTGTAACATTTTTAATCCACAGACGACAATGTGGGTTAACAAGTCTTTTGTCTTTGTTATATCATCACAATACTTGAAATTTTACTTTACTTTTTTAAGGCTTGGTTGAAAATATTACAGTTCTAAACTGTGTAAGTGGGACCAGAAGGTGGAAGTGCTACAGTAAATGTTTTTGAAAAGCGAATTTAAATGATATGTTAGGTTATTAAAGTAATTCTGTGCTCCCTTTCAAAGTAAATTTCTACGGTTAGGAGCACAGAATTATTTGAACTGCCTGCTAGTTATGGTGTTAGTAAAAGAAGTTTTAGTTGAAAATTTATGTTTTTAAATTTGAGTATTTTATATTCTAAAGAAACCCTTGAGGCAAATCTATTGACATACGCAGTATATCGTATTAGGAAAAGTGATTTTATGTGTTTTGTATCTAGTTGATGATAATACATATGCTTGAGACAAAACGGAAACACGTCAATTCTATTACAATTGTAGTATTACTAGGGGGTTTCAAAGATGTATGGTATATTAGCTTTTGAGGACGAGGGGGTTATTTGGCTTCAGCTGGTAGGGTCAAGCTTGGAAGGGTCTTTTCTATTGATAAGGCTTAGGGCTATGGTAATAATAGTAATAGGGCTCTATGGCTAGGGTTAGGGCTATGCTAGGGCTAGAATTGGAACTAGAGGGTAGGACTAGGGCTAAGGGTAGGGCTGGGCCAAGCTAGGCTAGAAATATAATAAGGTTTGCTTATGACAGTAATTTTCTTGTATCTTGTTAACAAGTTTTCGTATGATTCGAACACAAAATCCGGCTTAATTTGTGATGTTTGAGGTTGTGATAAACTAGTTGTAACACGCAAGTTAACATCATTTTGTTTCTTTGGTAACTCTAATAGTTGTGATTATTTGTATTCAACTTGCTTTAACGTACTAGAACACGCCGTTCCTTATTGATACATATTATTATGTGTCATACTATTAAAGTTATAATGTTCCTTGAACTCATAATACTACATATAACGCTATTCCCACGGTCACTTTGTCCATTTTTAGATATGTTTTTCCTAACTTGGGGGTGTTTAACGGTCGTTAGGTTGCCTTCCCTTCTTAACAGTCCACTGACTTTGCCTGTTGTAAATAAAAAGGCGGCCGTCCGGAACGATGTCCGGTTGATTACCGAAATGTAATTAATGGCGTTTAGAAACATTCACATGCTTCTATTATTATATTGAAAGGATGATAAGGTGGGGGAGGGTAGTAAAAATATATGATAGGGAGAAGTTGAAAGAATTAAGGTAGGAAAGGGCAGGGTAAGAATAAACAGGTCAGATTAAGATAAAGTAAGGTAGAAGAGCATCGTAGAATAGTACAAAGCTAAGGTAAGGGTAGGGAAAGGCTAAGGCAAGGCTGAGACAAGGTCAGGGTAAGGCCTGGATTAGGCTAGGACAAGGCAAGGCAAGGCAAGGCAAGCCAAGCCAAGCCAAGGCAAGGCAAGGCAAGGGCAAGGCTAGAGCAAGGATAGAGCAATGCTAGGGCAAGGCTAGAGCGAACCTAAGGCATGGAAAAGTCAACGGTAAGGAAAGTAGGGTACAGTATCTTAAAAGCTTGCTTTTTCACCTAGTACACTTTAAAAAATTATTTTTGGATTAGCTCTACCCTACTCAAAGCCTACTTACTTCTTTAACATTTCTTGCAATCCCTCTCTTTACATATATTACCTTGCTTTAGCTAAAAATTCAAAAACCGAACTTTTTCCAGCCCAAGCTTACATATAATAATGAGTCCGGGGACTTTTGGCGCACCCTGTAACATGTTGTCCACCTCTTCAAGTCATAAGCCTTCGCTCTTTCGTGTTTTAGTTAGAAACCCGCAAAAAACAGGGGGGAAAACCGCGCGAACAACCGGCTGTCTTTTCTCTCGACTTTCGCTTCCGTTCTCTGTTCTGTACTCTCGATCGTGTGGCATGTCTCGTCGCTTCGTCTCGAGAGTGCGTTTGGAAAAGAATTCGAGAGACTACTAAACGGGCCTCCGGGCATTGGCTTTATCTTTGTTTTTCGAACAATCCACGGATAATGCGTCATCCAAATAATCCGTCATTCGAGAGTAAATAATCCGTCATCCTCGTCCAAATATTGCATCAGTGGTTTGGTGGGGATCTTGTTGATATTGTCCTTGTAAGATGGTTAAGATGGCTCGAATAATATGTCAGTTTGAAGCGATGGAATCTAGGGAATTTGGAAGGGAATTTTAGGCGTAAATAAGTTGTTTTTATTGGCTTTTAAGACAAGGCTTATTGTTGGGGTTGGGGAAGTGAGAACTGAAGGTTTGACTTGATGTTTAGGGTTGTTAAAATTGGCATTTTTCTTAAATTTTGGAGTTTTAAAAAATATATTGTTCAAATAATTCTGTGCTCCATTCAAAGAAAATTTTCGGAGTTAGTGAGCACAGAATTATTTGAACAACCTAATATTTTTTTCTCAAGAAATTTAAAGTTTTTGAAATTTCAACACTGCCTCAAGACATACGAAGAAAGCCGAAACACCGTGGCAGAAATCGCGAAGGCATGCGTAAAACCCGATAAAACTGACGTATTTTGTGGAAATCCGTTTTTTTTGCGTTTTCGCCAACCGACTGGCATTGATATCCGAGCCGCGAGAAAAGCGAAGAGGAGAAAAAAAAATAACCCGGAGGCTAAACAAGTGTGGAAGAAGGACTGACAAACAAGCGGCCCCAAAGGTTTCGTGCCTCTCTGACCTATATATCTTTTACACCGGATTCGGCCCCGATTTTGCCCTCAGGGCCTGCAGAGTTTGCGACTATCGACCGGTCTTTGCGACTAATTTGCGGTTCGCGTGTTAATTTTGTTCTGTTTTCAGCATAAGCGTGTCAGAGGGCCTTAAGGAGGGAGGGGTGGGCAAAAGTGAACAAGGGAATAGGAGGGGTAAGGTGAGACAGAAAGTTTATATAGGGGAGGGGTAAAGTTTTTAGAGAAGTAGAGATTGGAAGTGGTGGTTTTTGGCTTGTGCAAACTTATTTTAGGCTATTAATTGATTAAAAATTGCTTTTTTTCTAGTAAAAAGTTATAGTTTACGTCGAAAAAGGCTAGGAAATCCCATTTTTCTAACTATATAAAGCTAAATTATTGTGTTCTAAGCAATATAAATGTCGAATTACTTTTTCTATGGTATATATAACACTAATTTGAACATTCAGAAAAAGTTTTTTAAAATTCAAAACGATTAAAATTGATTTTGAGCCGAGATTCCACGTTATTTCGGGCTGATTTCGTAGGCAGTTTGGTTTGATTCACCGAGATTAGAAGCCTTGAAT